GAATTATCGAGTAAAATCCTTAGGTTGTGAAAAGACTCATAAAGAAATAGACAATATATATATTTTGTATCAGTGCAGCAATTGTATTGGTAGACAATTGGGCGAGTGTGCGAGTGTGCGTATGTGCATATGTGCGTATGTGCGTGTGTTGGATAAAAGAAAAGAAAAATATATGATAGTAAGCCCAAAATATGATAGCAAGTTATATATATATAGTTTTGGAGTAGCTTCTGGTGTGTAACCGTATATTGAATAAAAGGGAAATAAATATATATGATAGTGTATCCAAAATATGATAGAAGCTTGTATATATATATATTTCGGGAGCACCTTCTGGTGTGTGTCCGTGTGTTGAATAATAATAATAAAATATATAAGATACTATATCCAAAATATGATAGAGGCTCATATATGTATATAGTTCGGGAGTATCTTCTGGTGTGTGTCCGAATATTAAATAATAATAATAAAATATATAAGATACTATATCCAAAATATGATGGAGGCTCATATATATATATATATATATCGAGAGTAACTTCTGGTGTGTGTCTGCGTGTTGAATAAACAGTATATATAGATGATAATGTATCCAAAATACAATAACAGTTTATATATATTTAGTTTGATAGTCATTTTTGGTTTATGAATATCATCCCTTTTAATGTGACTCGGTAATATTGTTCTATACACTCTTGCTTTTTTGGTGTAAAATTATTGATGCTTTTTGATACAATTTCACTAAGTGTAATTATAGAAGAATGTGTACAGATCTGAATAGTACTTTAGCTATTAAACATACTAGAAAACATGGTTTAAGTTATATTATTATATATAGCTTCTATCACACATTAAAACTATTAACAAAAAAAATTAAATAGCAATGCGATTGTAAATGATTTATAAATATATACTGTGGAATAAATCGGCTATAAAAATAAATTAAAATATATCTTATATCATTATCTATAGCTTAAACCCAATATAATCTTAATTAGAGTCTTAAGGGGATCAGACATATGGGTTATTTCGAAATTATTTGAAAGATATATAATACAAGCTATATATTTATAAGAAAGTAAAGTCATTATTACTAGCACATATGTTTCTACGATATTATTTTCTTCTGGATTCCAACGGTCCGAGATTTTTGGAAAAAAAATTTCTGTCCAGATCGAACTGAATAGGCGGCCGATCCGGACAGAATCATATCAGTGATATTACACATGCTTTTTTTTATTGGTTAAAAAAAATTGTAATTCCTATTAATCTTGCATATCCACCTTTCTTGATTTAGCTATAAAACAACTTTACTAACCTTGAGGCTGTATTCTTTATTGGTTAACAAAAAATATAGTTCTTGATAATGATATATAATTACTATTTATTGGTTAACTAAAAATATATGTCTTATGAATATGAATATCTACCCTTTATTGGTTAACTGAGAATATAGCTTTGATTATTCTTGCATATCTACTTGTCTTTTAACCAATAAAATGTTTCTTACTTATAGTGAATCTGGATGGTTTATTGGTTTACAAAGATATAGTTCTTAATAATGATATATATTTACTATTTATTGGTTGACTAATAATATATATCTTAGTAATCATACATGTTTACTTTATTTTGAAGCCAAGAGTTTAATGTAGTTAATAATCATATATACTCATTACTTATTGGTTAAACTATATGTATTTTACTCATTGCGCATACTCATTACTTATTGGTTAAACTATATGTATTTTACTCATTGCGCATACTCATTACTTATTGGTTAAACTATATGTACTTTACTCATTGCGCATACTCATTACTTATTGGTTAAACTATATGTACTTTACTCATTGCGCATACTCATTACTTATTGGTTAAACTATATGTATTTTGCTCATTGTGCATACTCACCCTTTATTGGTTAAACTATATGTGTTTTGCTCGTTGTACATACTCACCCTTTATTGGTTGACTAATAAATATTATATATCTTGAGTATTAAATTCTACCGTGTACATAATTTATTACTTTTTATATTATTTTGTAACCCATTCATTCTATTTAATATAAGTTTTAGTATACTATATTTTTACAAAGCTTATACAAGGAAGATATACCTATCAGAAAACAATCTGAACAAATATGAGCACAGACACAAACAGAAAAATAAAGCAAAAAGAAAGAGAATTATAGATATATTCTTTCCAAAAATTATTGATATAAAATTAAAATTCAATTCATTATTAAGAGTATATGAAATAAAATAATATAATCTAATATAATATATTAGAACAAGACTGCGATTTTATTTTATTTTACTTTATTTAAAAGTATAAAGCCTTAATAGTTGTATATTCTTTTCATATAGTGAAGAGTATGTAGTGGGCTAAAGAAAGATGTTATTTGTAGGCAGTATTTGTAGGTGGCCCGTGTATGTGATCCGTATGACAGAGTTTTGACATTCATGGTATACACTAATAAAAAACCACAGATTTCTACAGTAGGCTGTTTTGCTCGGCTGTATTCACTTGGTTTAGAATCAGTCACACAAAGGTATAATAAAAGTTGAGAGCTCTGAAAGTTATATGTGACAGAATGCAATGAGATGGAATAAGACGGAATGGAATGAGTTTATTACCACTGAAGAAGGTTTTGAAAGTATGATGATATGAATAGTATATATGTGCGAAAGTTGAAAATCGATTCTGAGAATAGTAGTATATGACACTCCAAATGTAGAAGAAAATAGTGTATTGCTTTTGAGCGTTGAAGTTTTGTTGTATGACTATTATTTTAACTTTTATTTTACTGTTGTAATAAAGTAAAGGAATAGTATAGTTGCTGGTTTCAATTTTGGTAGTGCGGTGGAGTTGGTGTTGGTGCAGGTTTCAAAAAAGAGAACGTTACTGTGGTTGTTGGTTTCAATTTTGATAGTGCGGTGGAGTTGGTGTTGGTACAGGTTTCAAAAAAGAGAACGTTACTGTGGTTGTTGGTTTCAATTTTGATAGTGCGGTGGAGTTGGTGTTGGTGCAGGTTTCAAAAAAGAGAACGTTACTGAGATTGTTGGTTTCAATTTTGATAGTGCGGTGGAGTTAGTGTTGGTACAGGTTTCAAAAAAGAGAACGTTACTGTGGTTGTTGGTTTCAATTTTGATAGTGCGGTGGAGTTGGTGTTGGTACAGGTTTCAAAAAAGAGAACGTTACTGTGGTTGTTGGTTTCAATTTTGATAGTGCGGTGGAGTTAGTGTTGGTACAGGTTTCAAAAAAGAGAACGTTACTGTGGTTGTTGGTTTCAATTTTGATAGTGCGGTGGAGTTGGTGTTGGTACAGGTTTCAAAAAAGAGAACGTTACTGTGGTTGTTGGTTTCAATTTTGGTAGTGCGGTGGAGTTGGTGTTGGTACAGGTTTCAAAAAAGAGAACGTTACTGAGATTGTTGGTTTCAATTTTGATAGTGCGGTGGAGTTGGTGTTGGTACAGGTTTCAAAAAAGAGAACGTTACTGTGGTTGTTGGTTTCAATTTTGATAGTGCGGTGGAGTTGGTGTTGGTGCAGGTTTCAAAAAAGAGAACGTTACTGAGATTGTTGGTTTCAATTTTGATAGTGCGGTGGAGTTGGTGTTGGTACAGGTTTCAAAAAAGAGAACGTTACTGTGGTTGTTGGTTTCAATTTTTAAAACGTTAAGAAGTTCATAGGGACACGAAGGTTTGACCAAGGGCTTATTTTTTGTTTGACTAACATATACAGTGAACAGCCGTCAAACGATAAAAAAAAAGGGTATTTGGGTTTTTTTTTGTAAAAGAGTATGCTCTCTTTTTATACTGCGCCGACTTCTGTCTACTTTGAGTTGTAACATTATATGAATGACGATCCCCATAAGGAATGAAGATTCTCGAAAAGGATGGCGGGATGGAGGGAATGTAGGAAGAGGATTCACGCCATCGTTAAAAAAAGATTTTTTTGTTATGATTATGGCGCAGTGAAGGACACTTTAATATACCGTCCTCTCTGAGCGATTGTAAGCAAATACTAGACGGTCTTTAAATATGTGTATGGGTAACAGTATCCCTGTCAATGGACCCTGCTATGTTCTTTTAGTTTAGGGATACACAAAGGCTGTCTGCGCAACCAATTGGTAATACCAGTTTACAAAAAAGTGTATTCTGTCCAAATTATCGATTAGAATCCTTAGTTTGTAAAAATATATAAAAAGAAATAGACAATATAGTATATTCTGTACCAGTGCAGCCAATATATTGGTGGATAATTGGGTGAGTGTGCGTATGTGCGTGTGTTAGATAAAAGAAAAGAAATATATATGGTAGTGGACTCAAAATACCATAGCAGTTTATATCTATTTAGTTTTGAAGTAGCTTTTGGTTTATGAATACTGTGCCTTTTAAAGTAACTCGGTAATGGTCTTCTGTAAGATCTTACTTTTTGGTGTATAATATATGCTGCTTTTTGGTTAAGTTTTAACGAGTGTAATTATAGAAGATTTTGTACGGACCTAGAAAGTACTCCATATATTAGACGTATTCCAAAGCATAGTTTTAATTATATTCATATATATAGTGTCTGTTACACATTTAATATATTAATAAAAAGAAAAGAACAATGCAATCGTCAACGATCCACCGAGCTATATTGCGGATCAAACTGTTATAAGAACATATTAAATTAATTCCTATTTAGTTTATATAATTTTCAGTAATATATTATACCACTACAAAAAAGGAGCGATTCAGAGAGTGGTCTTAAAAGCTATTACAAGCATTCTCTATAATCACTATTTGAATTGTCTATTTTTTCTGATAGTTGATCAATTTCTGATAAAGACCTCAAGCAGTGCGATAAACATGATTCTAGTTTATTAGAGTGCTCAGAGCGCTATTTTTTTCTATGCCACTTTCTTTATTTCGTATCTTTTAATTATATAGCTAAAAGTTAATTCTATGATATATCTTCTGTATCAAAAATTTTATGTAAAGTATAAAGTCTTATTATTTTAATTTTTCTTATTAAAAGATTCTTATTATTATTTTTGCTTATTATCTAATATAAAAACCCAATACTCTCGATATTATATATTGCCATGTCCAGTTGTGAAAGCTTTTAGTTTCTTTGTAATATATTTATATTTATATAATCTAAGACTAGATATGTGCTCTTATTGACTATAGCAATTTGGTAAATAAAAAAAGACCAATTGCTTTTTGAACATATCGATTATATTTATAATTTGTGAGACTTGCTTTAGTAAAAAGCTGTACTAATGTAAAGAGTGCCTTGATATGATATTACAATCTATACACACACATATATATATATACCACTTTATCTTTCATAGTCCAACTAAGATGATATATCTTTACAGTTTTTATTTTTAAGAAATAATATACTAATCTATAATATATGTGTTAAATAAATTCTTATACAAAATCGATTGACAAAAATGGTCAGCCATATAAGAGATTCGGGTTTTTAAAATGAGGGCCTTTATATGGCTTCTAATCATAGCAATCAATCTATTGATCTACAATCTTATATGTATGTTGTTATGTCATCTCATGATGAAAGCCCGAAGAATTTCTCGTTTATTTAATATGGGGGTCGGCCATACTTTCTCTATTTCTCTCTTATGGAAGGTAAGTCTATTATTTCCGATTCCTTTGTGTTGAGGGAGTCTTATTGTTTATAAGTATACTTATTTAAGTCTTATTTAGGCGAGTAAACGGTGCGATGGATGGATGAATGGATAGGTAAGTTGAAGTGATGGAGATGGAGATGGAGATGGAGGTGAGGGTGTGGTGGGTGGTGTTGGGCGTGGGCGTGGGCGTGGGCGTGGGCGTGGGTGTGGGCGTGGTGGTGGGTGTGGTGGGTGTGGTGGTGGGTGTGGTGGGTGTGGTGGTGGGTGTGGTGGGTGTGGTGGTGGTGGTGGTGGTGGTGGTGGTAGTAGTTTAGTAGTAGTTTAGTAGTAGTTTAGTTTCCCCTCTCTAGTTAGTTTACGTAGTGGGTAGCCTTTAGATATAGCTTTCGCTCATCCCTTTAGCTCAGCTTAGATTGATAGTTTCGTTCCCTGTTCACCTTTTATTTTTTAAGCCCATAGCTAGCCTCGACCCCTAGCGTCCCCGATCTCCCTCCCCACTCCGTTCTCTTCCACGAAGTCAGAACAGGTCTACGCCCTGTGGAGGATGGATCCACCTTTATAGGTGGTGAACCAAGATTCTGACGATATATTTGAATATTAATAAAATCTTATTTTAACCATTTTTTTCTGTCCATAAATACACTGTCTGCCTTACAAATGATTGAGAGAAACACTTTATTATTAGAAGAAAACTGAATAAAACAATGCGTGAGAACAATAATATGATTTTATTTTTTATTTAAAAATATCAAGTTTTAACAGTAGTGTATTTTTTATATGGGCGAGAAGTGGGTGGTCCGTGTGGGTGGTCCGTGTGGGTGGTCCGTGTGGGTGGTCCGTGTGACAAAGTTTTGACATTCATGGCGCACACTAATGACGAGAGATTAACATCGCAAGACTTTTTGTTAGGTGGTGTCCGCTTGGTCTAGACTCAGTTGCGTAAAGGTATACTGAAAGGCGTGAGCTTTGAAAATTATGTCCGATGGGATGGAATTAGATGGGATGGGATGGAATTGAATGGCGTCATTGGGATCGAAGAAGGTGTCAGAATTATGGTGGTATGAATACTATATGACTTGGAGAGTTGAAGGTCAGCTCTGAGAATGGTAATATATAACACTTCAGGTATAGAGAAATATTGTATATGACTTCCGAGTGTTGAGTTTTTATTATATGGCCATTATTTCGATTTTTATATTTCAGTGATTATAAAATAAAAGAATAATATTTTTGGTGGTGGCGATTCTGGTAGTTTTGTAAAGTTGATGGCGGGATGGTGGGATGGCGGGATGGAGGGAATGTAGGAAGAGGATTCACACCATCGTTAAATAGAATTTTTATTTTATTTTGGTTACGGCGCAGTGAAGGCCACTTTAATATACTGTCCTCTCTGGGCGATTGTAAGTGAACACTAGACGGTCTTTCAACCTATGTATGGGTAACAGTATTTCTGTCAATGGACCCTGCTATGTTCCTTTAGCTTAGGGATACACAAAGCTGTCTGCGCAACCAATTGGTAATACCAATTTACAAAAAAGTGCATTCTGTCCGAATTATCGAGTAAAATCCTTAGGTTGTAAAAAGACACAAAAAGAAATAGACAATATATATATTTTGTATCAGTGCAGCAATTGTATTGGTAGACAATTGGGCGAGTGTGCGAGTGTGCGTATGTGCATATGTGCGTATGTGCGTGTGTTGGATAAAAGAAAAGAAAAATATATGATAGTAAGCCCAAAATATGATAGCAAGTTATATATATATAGTTTTGGAGTAGCTTCTGGTGTGTAACCGTATATTGAATAAAAGGGAAATAAATATATATGATAGTGTATCCAAAATATGATAGAAGCTTGTATATATATATATTTCGGGAGCACCTTCTGGTGTGTGTCCGTGTGTTGAATAATAATAATAAAATATATAAGATACTATATCCAAAATATGATAGAGGCTCATATATGTATATAGTTCGGGAGTATCTTCTGGTGTGTGTCCGAATATTAAATAATAATAATAAAATATATAAGATACTATATCCAAAATATGATGGAGGCTCATATATATATATATATATATCGAGAGTAACTTCTGGTGTGTGTCTGCGTGTTGAATAAACAGTATATATAGATGATAATGTATCCAAAATACAATAACAGTTTATATATATTTAGTTTGATAGTCATTTTTGGTTTATGAATATCATCCCTTTTAATGTGACTCGGTAATATTGTTCTATACACTCTTGCTTTTTTGGTGTAAAATTATTGATGCTTTTTGATACAATTTCACTAAGTGTAATTATAGAAGAATGTGTACAGATCTGAATAGTACTTTAGCTATTAAACATACTAGAAAACATGGTTTAAGTTATATTATTATATATAGCTTCTATCACACATTAAAACTATTAACAAAAAAAATTAAATAGCAATGCGATTGTAAATGATTTATAAATATATACTGTGGAATAAATCGGCTATAAAAATAAATTAAAATATATCTTATATCATTATCTATAGCTTAAACCCAATATAATCTTAATTAGAGTCTTAAGGGGATCAGACATATGGGTTATTTCGAAATTATTTGAAAGATATATAATACAAGCTATATATTTATAAGAAAGTAAAGTCATTATTACTAGCACATATGTTTCTACGATATTATTTTCTTCTGGATTCCAACGGTCCGAGATTTTTGGAAAAAAAATTTCTGTCCAGATCGAACTGAATAGGCGGCCGATCCGGACAGAATCATATCAGTGATATTACACATGCTTTTTTTTATTGGTTAAAAAAAATTGTAATTCCTATTAATCTTGCATATCCACCTTTCTTGATTTAGCTATAAAACAACTTTACTAACCTTGAGGCTGTATTCTTTATTGGTTAACAAAAAATATAGTTCTTGATAATGATATATAATTACTATTTATTGGTTAACTAAAAATATATGTCTTATGAATATGAATATCTACCCTTTATTGGTTAACTGAGAATATAGCTTTGATTATTCTTGCATATCTACTTGTCTTTTAACCAATAAAATGTTTCTTACTTATAGTGAATCTGGATGGTTTATTGGTTTACAAAGATATAGTTCTTAATAATGATATATATTTACTATTTATTGGTTGACTAATAATATATATCTTAGTAATCATACATGTTTACTTTATTTTGAAGCCAAGAGTTTAATGTAGTTAATAATCATATATACTCATTACTTATTGGTTAAACTATATGTATTTTACTCATTGCGCATACTCATTACTTATTGGTTAAACTATATGTATTTTACTCATTGCGCATACTCATTACTTATTGGTTAAACTATATGTACTTTACTCATTGCGCATACTCATTACTTATTGGTTAAACTATATGTACTTTACTCATTGCGCATACTCATTACTTATTGGTTAAACTATATGTATTTTGCTCATTGTGCATACTCACCCTTTATTGGTTAAACTATATGTGTTTTGCTCGTTGTACATACTCACCCTTTATTGGTTGACTAATAAATATTATATATCTTGAGTATTAAATTCTACCGTGTACATAATTTATTACTTTTTATATTATTTTGTAACCCATTCATTCTATTTAATATAAGTTTTAGTATACTATATTTTTACAAAGCTTATACAAGGAAGATATACCTATCAGAAAACAATCTGAACAAATATGAGCACAGACACAAACAGAAAAATAAAGCAAAAAGAAAGAGAATTATAGATATATTCTTTCCAAAAATTATTGATATAAAATTAAAATTCAATTCATTATTAAGAGTATATGAAATAAAATAATATAATCTAATATAATATATTAGAACAAGACTGCGATTTTATTTTATTTTACTTTATTTAAAAGTATAAAGCCTTAATAGTTGTATATTCTTTTCATATAGTGAAGAGTATGTAGTGGGCTAAAGAAAGATGTTATTTGTAGGCAGTATTTGTAGGTGGCCCGTGTATGTGATCCGTATGACAGAGTTTTGACATTCATGGTATACACTAATAAAAAACCACAGATTTCTACAGTAGGCTGTTTTGCTCGGCTGTATTCACTTGGTTTAGAATCAGTCACACAAAGGTATAATAAAAGTTGAGAGCTCTGAAAGTTATATGTGACAGAATGCAATGAGATGGAATAAGACGGAATGGAATGAGTTTATTACCACTGAAGAAGGTTTTGAAAGTATGATGATATGAATAGTATATATGTGCGAAAGTTGAAAATCGATTCTGAGAATAGTAGTATATGACACTCCAAATGTAGAAGAAAATAGTGTATTGCTTTTGAGCGTTGAAGTTTTGTTGTATGACTATTATTTTAACTTTTATTTTACTGTTGTAATAAAGTAAAGGAATAGTATAGTTGCTGGTTTCAATTTTGGTAGTGCGGTGGAGTTGGTGTTGGTGCAGGTTTCAAAAAAGAGAACGTTACTGTGGTTGTTGGTTTCAATTTTGATAGTGCGGTGGAGTTGGTGTTGGTACAGGTTTCAAAAAAGAGAACGTTACTGTGGTTGCTGGTTTCAATTTTGATAGTGCGGTGGAGTTGGTGTTGGTGCAGGTTTCAAAAAAGAGAACGTTACTGTGGTTGTTGGTTTCAATTTTGATAGTGCGGTGGAGTTGGTGTTGGTACAGGTTTCAAAAAAGAGAACGTTACTGTGGTTGTTGGTTTCAATTTTGATAGTGCGGTGGAGTTGGTGTTGGTGCAGGTTTCAAAAAAGAGAACGTTACTGAGATTGTTGGTTTCAATTTTGATAGTGCGGTGGAGTTAGTGTTGGTACAGGTTTCAAAAAAGAGAACGTTACTGTGGTTGTTGGTTTCAATTTTGATAGTGCGGTGGAGTTGGTGTTGGTACAGGTTTCAAAAAAGAGAACGTTACTGTGGTTGTTGGTTTCAATTTTGATAGTGCGGTGGAGTTAGTGTTGGTACAGGTTTCAAAAAAGAGAACGTTACTGTGGTTGTTGGTTTCAATTTTGATAGTGCGGTGGAGTTGGTGTTGGTACAGGTTTCAAAAAAGAGAACGTTACTGTGGTTGTTGGTTTCAATTTTGGTAGTGCGGTGGAGTTGGTGTTGGTACAGGTTTCAAAAAAGAGAACGTTACTGAGATTGTTGGTTTCAATTTTGATAGTGCGGTGGAGTTGGTGTTGGTACAGGTTTCAAAAAAGAGAACGTTACTGTGGTTGTTGGTTTCAATTTTGATAGTGCGGTGGAGTTGGTGTTGGTGCAGGTTTCAAAAAAGAGAACGTTACTGAGATTGTTGGTTTCAATTTTGATAGTGCGGTGGAGTTGGTGTTGGTACAGGTTTCAAAAAAGAGAACGTTACTGTGGTTGTTGGTTTCAATTTTTAAAACGTTAAGAAGTTCATAGGGACACGAAGGTTTGACCAAGGGCTTATTTTTTGTTTGACTAACATATACAGTGAACAGCCGTCAAACGATAAAAAAAAAGGGTATTTGGGTTTTTTTTTGTAAAAGAGTATGCTCTCTTTTTATACTGCGCCGACTTCTGTCTACTTTGAGTTGTAACATTATATGAATGACGATCCCCATAAGGAATGAAGATTCTCGAAAAGGATGGCGGGATGGAGGGAATGTAGGAAGAGGATTCACGCCATCGTTAAAAAAAGATTTTTTTGTTATGATTATGGCGCAGTGAAGGACACTTTAATATACCGTCCTCTCTGAGCGATTGTAAGCAAATACTAGACGGTCTTTAAATATGTGTATGGGTAACAGTATCCCTGTCAATGGACCCTGCTATGTTCTTTTAGTTTAGGGATACACAAAGGCTGTCTGCGCAACCAATTGGTAATACCAGTTTACAAAAAAGTGTATTCTGTCCAAATTATCGATTAGAATCCTTAGTTTGTAAAAATATATAAAAAGAAATAGACAATATAGTATATTCTGTACCAGTGCAGCCAATATATTGGTGGATAATTGGGTGAGTGTGCGTATGTGCGTGTGTTAGATAAAAGAAAAGAAATATATATGGTAGTGGACTCAAAATACCATAGCAGTTTATATCTATTTAGTTTTGAAGTAGCTTTTGGTTTATGAATACTGTGCCTTTTAAAGTAACTCGGTAATGGTCTTCTGTAAGATCTTACTTTTTGGTGTATAATATATGCTGCTTTTTGGTTAAGTTTTAACGAGTGTAATTATAGAAGATTTTGTACGGACCTAGAAAGTACTCCATATATTAGACGTATTCCAAAGCATAGTTTTAATTATATTCATATATATAGTGTCTGTTACACATTTAATATATTAATAAAAAGAAAAGAACAATGCAATCGTCAACGATCCACCGAGCTATATTGCGGATCAAACTGTTATAAGAACATATTAAATTAATTCCTATTTAGTTTATATAATTTTCAGTAATATATTATACCACTACAAAAAAGGAGCGATTCAGAGAGTGGTCTTAAAAGCTATTACAAGCATTCTCTATAATCACTATTTGAATTGTCTATTTTTTCTGATAGTTGATCAATTTCTGATAAAGACCTCAAGCAGTGCGATAAACATGATTCTAGTTTATTAGAGTGCTCAGAGCGCTATTTTTTTCTATGCCACTTTCTTTATTTCGTATCTTTTAATTATATAGCTAAAAGTTAATTCTATGATATATCTTCTGTATCAAAAATTTTATGTAAAGTATAAAGTCTTATTATTTTAATTTTTCTTATTAAAAGATTCTTATTATTATTTTTGCTTATTATCTAATATAAAAACCCAATACTCTCGATATTATATATTGCCATGTCCAGTTGTGAAAGCTTTTAGTTTCTTTGTAATATATTTATATTTATATAATCTAAGACTAGATATGTGCTCTTATTGACTATAGCAATTTGGTAAATAAAAAAAGACCAATTGCTTTTTGAACATATCGATTATATTTATAATTTGTGAGACTTGCTTTAGTAAAAAGCTGTACTAATGTAAAGAGTGCCTTGATATGATATTACAATCTATACACACACATATATATATATACCACTTTATCTTTCATAGTCCAACTAAGATGATATATCTTTACAGTTTTTATTTTTAAGAAATAATATACTAATCTATAATATATGTGTTAAATAAATTCTTATACAAAATCGATTGACAAAAATGGTCAGCCATATAAGAGATTCGGGTTTTTAAAATGAGGGCCTTTATATGGCTTCTAATCATAGCAATCAATCTATTGATCTACAATCTTATATGTATGTTGTTATGTCATCTCATGATGAAAGCCCGAAGAATTTCTCGTTTATTTAATATGGGGGTCGGCCATACTTTCTCTATTTCTCTCTTATGGAAGGTAAGTCTATTATTTCCGATTCCTTTGTGTTGAGGGAGTCTTATTGTTTATAAGTATACTTATTTAAGTCTTATTTAGGCGAGTAAACGGTGCGATGGATGGATGAATGGATAGGTAAGTTGAAGTGATGGAGATGGAGATGGAGATGGAGGTGAGGGTGTGGTGGGTGGTGTTGGGCGTGGGCGTGGGCGTGGGCGTGGGCGTGGGTGTGGGCGTGGTGGTGGGTGTGGTGGGTGTGGTGGTGGGTGTGGTGGGTGTGGTGGTGGGTGTGGTGGGTGTGGTGGTGGTGGTGGTGGTGGTGGTAGTAGTTTAGTAGTAGTTTAGTAGTAGTTTAGTTTCCCCTCTCTAGTTAGTTTACGTAGTGGGTAGCCTTTAGATATAGCTTTCGCTCATCCCTTTAGCTCAGCTTAGATTGATAGTTTCGTTCCCTGTTCACCTTTTATTTTTTAAGCCCATAGCTAGCCTCGACCCCTAGCGTCCCCGATCTCCCTCCCCACTCCGTTCTCTTCCACGAAGTCAGAACAGGTCTACGCCCTGTGGAGGATGGATCCACCTTTATAGGTGGTGAACCAAGATTCTGACGATATATTTGAATATTAATAAAATCTTATTTTAACCATTTTTTTCTGTCCATAAATACACTGTCTGCCTTACAAATGATTGAGAGAAACACTTTATTATTAGAAGAAAACTGAATAAAACAATGCGTGAGAACAATAATATGATTTTATTTTTTATTTAAAAATATCAAGTTTTAACAGTAGTGTATTTTTTATATGGGCGAGAAGTGGGTGGTCCGTGTGGGTGGTCCGTGTGGGTGGTCCGTGTGGGTGGTCCGTGTGACAAAGTTTTGACATTCATGGCGCACACTAATGACGAGAGATTAACATCGCAAGACTTTTTGTTAGGTGGTGTCCGCTTGGTCTAGACTCAGTTGCGTAAAGGTATACTGAAAGGCGTGAGCTTTGAAAATTATGTCCGATGGGATGGAATTAGATGGGATGGGATGGAATTGAATGGCGTCATTGGGATCGAAGAAGGTGTCAGAATTATGGTGGTATGAATACTATATGACTTGGAGAGTTGAAGGTCAGCTCTGAGAATGGTAATATATAACACTTCAGGTATAGAGAAATATTGTATATGACTTCCGAGTGTTGAGTTTTTATTATATGGCCATTATTTCGATTTTTATATTTCAGTGATTATAAAATAAAAGAATAATATTTTTGGTGGTGGCGATTCTGGTAGTTTTGTAAAGTTGATGGCGGGATGGTGGGATGGCGGGATGGAGGGAATGTAGGAAGAGGATTCACACCATCGTTAAATAGAATTTTTATTTTATTTTGGTTACGGCGCAGTGAAGGCCACTTTAATATACTGTCCTCTCTGGGCGATTGTAAGTGAACACTAGACGGTCTTTCAACCTATGTATGGGTAACAGTATTTCTGTCAATGGACCCTGCTATGTTCCTTTAGCTTAGGGATACACAAAGCTGTCTGCGCAACCAATTGGTAATACCAATTTACAAAAAAGTGCATTCTGTCCGAATTATCGAGTAAAATCCTTAGGTTGTAAAAAGACACAAAAAGAAATAGACAATATATATATTTTGTATCAGTGCAGCAATTGTATTGGTAGACAATTGGGCGAGTGTGCGAGTGTGCGTATGTGCATATGTGCGTATGTGCGTGTGTTGGATAAAAGAAAAGAAAAATATATGATAGTAAGCCCAAAATATGATAGCAAGTTATATATATATAGTTTTGGAGTAGCTTCTGGTGTGTAACCGTATATTGAATAAAAGGGAAATAAATATATATGATAGTGTATCCAAAATATGATAGAAGCTTGTATATATATATATTTCGGGAGCACCTTCTGGTGTGTGTCCGTGTGTTGAATAATAATAATAAAATATATAAGATACTATATCCAAAATATGATAGAGGCTCATATATGTATATAGTTCGGGAGTATCTTCTGGTGTGTGTCCGAATATTAAATAATAATAATAAAATATATAAGATACTATATCCAAAATATGATAGAGGCTCATATATGTATATAGTTCGGGAGTATCTTCTGGTGTGTGTCCGAATATTAAATAATAATAATAAAATATATAAGATACTATATCCAAAATATGATGGAGGCTCATATATATATATATATATATCGAGAGTAACTTCTGGTGTGTGTCTGCGTGTTGAATAAACAGTATATATAGATGATAATGTATCCAAAATACAATAACAGTTTATATATATTTAGTTTGATAGTCATTTTTGGTTTATGAATATCATCCCTTTTAATGTGACTCGGTAATATTGTTCTATACACTCTTGCTTTTTTGGTGTAAAATTATTGATGCTTTTTGATACAATTTCACTAAGTGTAATTATAGAAGAATGTGTACAGATCTGAATAGTACTTTAGCTATTAAACATACTAGAAAACATGGTTTAAGTTATATTATTATATATAGCTTCTATCACACATTAAAACTATTAACAAAAAAAATTAAATAGCAATGCGATTGTAAATGATTTATAAATATATACTGTGGAATAAATCGGCTATAAAAATAAATTAAAATATATCTTATATCATTATCTATAGCTTAAACCCAATATAATCTTAATTAGAGTCTTAAGGGGATCAGACATATGGGTTATTTCGAAATTATTTGAAAGATATATAATACAAGCTATATATTTATAAGAAAGTAAAGTCATTATTACTAGCACATATGTTTCTACGATATTATTTTCTTCTGGATTCCAACGGTCCGAGATTTTTGGAAAAAAAATTTCTGTCCAGATCGAACTGAATAGGCGGCCGATCCGGACAGAATCATATCAGTGATATTACACATGCTTTTTTTTATTGGTTAAAAAAAATTGTAATTCCTATTAATCTTGCATATCCACCTTTCTTGATTTAGCTATAAAACAACTTTACTAACCTTGAGGCTGTATTCTTTATTGGTTAACAAAAAATATAGTTCTTGATAATGATATATAATTACTATTTATTGGTTAACTAAAAATATATGTCTTATGAATATGAATATCTACCCTTTATTGGTTAACTGAGAATATAGCTTTGATTATTCTTGCATATCTACTTGTCTTTTAACCAATAAAATGTTTCTTACTTATAGTGAATCTGGATGGTTTATTGGTTTACAAAGATATAGTTCTTAATAATGATATATATTTACTATTTATTGGTTGACTAATAATATATATCTTAGTAATCATACATGTTTACTTTATTTTGAAGCCAAGAGTTTAATGTAGTTAATAATCATATATACTCATTACTTATTGGTTAAACTATATGTATTTTACTCATTGCGCATACTCATTACTTATTGGTTAAACTATATGTATTTTACTCATTGCGCATACTCATTACTTATTGGTTAAACTATATGTACTTTACTCATTGCGCATACTCATTACTTATTGGTTAAACTATATGTACTTTACTCATTGCGCATACTCATTACTTATTGGTTAAACTATATGTATTTTGCTCATTGTGCATACTCACCCTTTATTGGTTAAACTATATGTGTTTTGCTCGTTGTACATACTCACCCTTTATTGGTTGACTAATAAATATTATATATCTTGAGTATTAAATTCTACCGTGTACATAATTTATTACTTTTTATATTATTTTGTAACCCATTCATTCTATTTAATATAAGTTTTAGTATACTATATTTTTACAAAGCTTATACAAGGAAGATATACCTATCAGAAAACAATCTGAACAAATATGAGCACAGACACAAACAGAAAAATAAAGCAAAAAGAAAGAGAATTATAGATATATTCTTTCCAAAAATTATTGATATAAAATTAAAATTCAATTCATTATTAAGAGTATATGAAATAAAATAATATAATCTAATATAATATATTAGAACAAGACTGCGATTTTATTTTATTTTACTTTATTTAAAAGTATAAAGCCTTAATAGTTGTATATTCTTTTCATATAGTGAAGAGTATGTAGTGGGCTAAAGAAAGATGTTATTTGTAGGCAGTATTTGTAGGTGGCCCGTGTATGTGATCCGTATGACAGAGTTTTGACATTCATGGTATACACTAATAAAAAACCACAGATTTCTACAGTAGGCTGTTTTGCTCGGCTGTATTCACTTGGTTTAGAATCAGTCACACAAAGGTATAATAAAAGTTGAGAGCTCTGAAAGTTATATGTGACAGAATGCAATGAGATGGAATAAGACGGAATGGAATGAGTTTATTACCACTGAAGAAGGTTTTGAAAGTATGATGATATGAATAGTATATATGTGCGAAAGTTGAAAATCGATTCTGAGAATAGTAGTATATGACACTCCAAATGTAGAAGAAAATAGTGTATTGCTTTTGAGCGTTGAAGTTTTGTTGTATGACTATTATTTTAACTTTTATTTTACTGTTGTAATAAAGTAAAGGAATAGTATAGTTGCTGGTTTCAATTTTGGTAGTGCGGTGGAGTTGGTGTTGGTGCAGGTTTCAAAAAAGAGAACGTTACTGTGGTTGTTGGTTTCAATTTTGATAGTGCGGTGGAGTTGGTGTTGGTACAGGTTTCAAAAAAGAGAACGTTACTGTGGTTGTTGGTTTCAATTTTGATAGTGCGGTGGAGTTGGTGTTGGTGCAGGTTTCAAAAAAGAGAACGTTACTGAGATTGTTGGTTTCAATTTTGATAGTGCGGTGGAGTTAGTGTTGGTACAGGTTTCAAAAAAGAGAACGTTACTGTGGTTGTTGGTTTCAATTTTGATAGTGCGGTGGAGTTGGTGTTGGTACAGGTTTCAAAAAAGAGAACGTTACTGTGGTTGTTGGTTTCAATTTTGATAGTGCGGTGGAGTTAGTGTTGGTACAGGTTTCAAAAAAGAGAACGTTACTGTGGTTGTTGGTTTCAATTTTGATAGTGCGGTGGAGTTGGTGTTGGTACAGGTTTCAAAAAAGAGAACGTTACTGTGGTTGTTGGTTTCAATTTTGATAGTGCGGTGGAGTTGGTGTTGGTACAGGTTTCAAAAAAGAGAACGTTACTGTGGTTGTTGGTTTCAATTTTGGTAGTGCGGTGGAGTTGGTGTTGGTACAGGTTTCAAAAAAGAGAACGTTACTGTGGTTGTTGGTTTCAATTTTGATAGTGCGGTGGAGTTGGTGTTGGTGCAGGTTTCAAAAAAGAGAACGTTACTGAGATTGTTGGTTTCAATTTTGATAGTGCGGTGGAGTTAGTGTTGGTACAGGTTTCAAAAAAGAGAACGTTACTGTGGTTGTTGGTTTCAATTTTGATAGTGCGGTGGAGTTGGTGTTGGTACAGGTTTCAAAAAAGAGAACGTTACTGTGGTTGTTGGTTTCAATTTTGATAGTGCGGTGGAGTTGGTGTTGGTACAGGTTTCAAAAAAGAGAACGTTACTGTGGTTGTTGGTTTCAATTTTGATAGTGCGGTGGAGTTAGTGTTGGTACAGGTTTCAAAAAAGAGAACGTTACTGAGATTGTTGGTTTCAATTTTTAAAACGTTAAGTTTATAGGGACGCAAAAGTTAAACCGAGGGCTTATTTTTTTGTTAGACCCGCGTATACAACGAATATTCGTCAAAATGATAAAATAAATAGTATTTTCATTTTTTTTAAAAAGAGTGTGCTGTCTTTTTATATTGCGTCGCTTTCAGTCGACTTTGAGTTGCAATATTATATGAATAACGATTTGCAGTGCGAATGAAGAGATATATAAAACAATGATCATTTCAAAAAGAAGTGATGTGTAAAACGAGGGCTGAACATATGCTCACAGCATGTGATTCCAAACAATAGAACGTCTTTTTAACTAATTGGAGCATAGTACAAAAATAAAAATATAGATATATTTTACAGAACAGAACGTTGGTTTTAATGGACACTACACTGAATAGATAGAGATTTTATCAAATACATGAAAACAAAAGGTTCTTTCTACTGTTTTTATTTAAAAGAAAAACTAAATATAAGCTACTCTTTATAATGACATATACAAACCTTAACGTTTAGCTTGTCGTAATTGCCAAAGATGAAATAGACCCGATATAGCTGATTGCAACAGCAGGCATTTAAACGTTAAGTTCCTATTTTGAAGATAACAAGCGTTCTGTGAAATAATAAGCCTCTATTAAAGTGTCAGATGTGGATTATTCAAGTGAGAAAATACTGCGTCTCAAGAAAAACCTCTACGAAGAGAATGACAATCAAGCAAAGATGATATACTTGTCTGTTTTTAATGTATTTACCTTGGAACAAACCTTTAATGCAGATAGCGTGGTAAAGGAAGGCATCTTGATTTACATAGGTGTTCTATCCATAATTCATGAACTTATTGTCATTCGTAGATGTGGTGACCAAGATACTTACTATTTGTGGGTCGTCAACCACTCCAATTTTAATGATGAATATGCTGAAGACAATAATTTCGGAACACAGAGTATATTGATATCGATTTTTGGAGAAAGTTGTTAACAATTCATAGATATCAAAGCGTACTGTAACATTAATGGTGCGTAATCCAACTTCAGAAGTTTTTCACACCACGTAGTTATTGTTCTTAGGAGATTCATAAACACTCCCTTTGGCTACAGAGTTGCAAAAGTAACACTTGGTTTTACCCATGGTTTGTGGAATATGTTTACAAACCGGTTAGTTGGCACGTTGTCAAACAAGATATCCAGTAAGATCATAGTATGATTATCCGTGGTTAAAAAGCAAAGAGAGGTTTCGGAAGGCTTTGCATCCCGTATTTAAAGCAAAAATAAGCAACACTTGAAGGACATGGCGAGAGCTAATGATTGGACACTCATTAAGATCCAGAAACCAAAAGTCAATAGTAACCCATATATTGATTGCAAAAAGCAATACCTTGATTAGCCTTATGGTAGCCTGCGATTCGAAGGAACATATCTTTATTACCACTGTTGGTGCACCAGATGATATATTGTTAGCTGTCATATATATATTCAAATACTTATCTTTAGGCGTGCTACATTTAGGGAACGTCTATGATGCCATAATATTCCAGCTAAGTGAGCGCAGCATTGATATAGTCTTGACCGAAAAGCAACTGTGCCTTAACAGTCTATATATAATTGGAGACATGCAAAGATTAGTATTAAATTCCAAATTAAATAAATAGCTTGTCCTTTAGTTTCATTAAAGGTGCTCTTCATGACCCCAACCCTTACCCTTTTACGTCGACCAGACCCATTCCCAAAATGTACATAAGGATTCTTGATATATATAGTAATTATGTAAGATAAAATTTTCAAAATGATAAAAAATCTTGTACGTATCGAAGGTGAAAATACACCTTCGACAGGAAGTAAAATGGGAAATAACGTCCCATATACAGCATACTAAACAGTCATAGTCACACTGTTACTTTTCATGAGAATAATAGCTACGTTAATGTGTTATTTTATTTTTTTACTTCTATTTCATTGCCTTTTAAATGAATTTGTTTGCTCTTCTGAGTCATTTGTCGATTAGAAAAATCTAAGGACAAGCATTATACGATGCTTGTAAAAAATCTTCGACTCATCCTTCTCCAAGAACAAAGTCAATAATTTAGTTGTAGTTCATTGTTGTTTTGTTTTAATAAAAATATTGCAAAATAAAGGATACAAGAAATAGTACAAAAAATGCACACATTATGATGGAATTTTAGAGATCAAGTACTCCGAAAACATCTTGAGTAATATATAACTCCAAAATTGTTTTGGGAATGGGTCTAGTAGAACGTAAAAGGGTAAGGGTTGGGGTCGTGAAGAGCACCTTAACTCTTTACTTAACAGATTTTGTATATTCTCTTTTCGCTCAGCTTCTTATGCCATTTTCAGAAACAAATTCCAATGTTACTGAAGACATAATATTACGTCAAAAATGTTATAACAAAACACAATTCCCCACTTGGTAAAATACTGAGGATATGTTTGCTTTTCTGGTGCGTTGGTGGAGACTTAGGTACAAACATATGCTTCTATTAAACACAAACAAAACGATGCTAATTATCATTACCTGCTTTTTTTTGCCCAATTAGTGCATTTGTAATGGAGACAGTATAACAGAGGATCCAGAAGAAGAAGCAGAAACGCGCGCTTTCTTGGAAAGTGATGGGAATAGCGGATCAAAGCTTTTGGTACATCTTCTCTTAACAAGGGAGTTCCGAAAACCAGAAGTCGCATTGCTCGTTTGATACATCTCAAAGAGTAAGGAGTAATAAAGCGTAATAAAGTGATTGGCAACTTGTAAAGGTCATCCTTTCCATTCTATAATATAAAATGGTAAAAACATAGTTGACTTTTATTTTACGTCTCACCATTATCAGTGTTTTGACTATTGCTGCCTTTATCGTTTCGCTGAATGATTCTTGCCAGCATATCATTCATTCTTCTTTGTTTTAAAAGAAGTTCTTCATCTCTTCTTGCTCTTCTTTCTCGATCTACGTTTTTTGCCTCTGCCTCTCTCTCCTTTCTACTTTCTTTTCTAGCCCTCGTCTTCACATCTTTCTCATATGTTGCTGTATGCCTTTCCCAAATCTCAATCACCTTGTCAACCCTTCTCTTCTTCTGCGCTTTTTCTTCACTTGTTCCAACAAAAGAATCCATAAGGCTAAGGGCCGACAATCTCATGTCTTCACTTATAGATGTATGTGATGTAGCCATAAGCTCTAATGCAGAGTTCATATCATCATTATATTGGGGCTGAACACGATGGGGGAAGATAGGACGGTTTGCAGTGCTAGGACAGATGGTTTCAGGCTCTTCAACTGGTACAAATCGTTCGTAAATGATCTCTAAAGGATGGGAAGAGTCAATGTGTTCCTTGGTTATTTTTTGAGTTGGGGGCTTGCGAGTGATTGTAGGCTTCACGGAGTCTAATTCACTTGAATCCAAAGCTGGGGCATTAAATGACGGGTCATTCAAAGTGATCTTACGCAGTTCGTCGAACCAAGTCCCACGTGAGTGACCAACATCACCACCAGCTTGAGTAGAGTCTCTGTCTAAGGATTGCTCGAAGCTCTTTTTCAATAACTTAAACTTGTTATTGCATTTGAAGATATTTACTGATGACTTGAACTTTTGTGGTAGATTATCAAATCCTGGCTCATTTTTAAAAGCTTCGAAGAGATCAATCCAAATACGGCCAATCCTTTGCTTATTTCTTTTAGCAGCTCTAATCTTGCCATCTGTGTCGGTATCCAAGATAACTTTCAACAGCAATCTTGTAGAATCACGGCACCAGATTCGACTTTTTACAATCTTGGAGGAGCTTTCTCCTTCGCCATTTTCTTCTTGATCTTCATCGGAATCGGAATCGTTAGCATCTTCGTTTTCTTTTTCTCCCACTTCACGAATGTCAGTGACTTTATAGTCAGAAGCAGTTACATCATTTGTATCGACGATCTCCGCAGCAATAACGGCTGAACGGAAAGGCTGTCTCGGTTGCCCAGGTTTGGATGGGTCAACAAAGATGATTTGGAAAGAATCGAATGACATAAAAAAAGCAAGTAAATAAAACTAACAAGAGACTAATAACTAAGACTATGAAAATAAAATGTGCTTTGCATGCGGTGCTTATAAAAATCAAAATCATATACTATATAGGGTTATCAAAAAAAAGTGCCTTGTAGTATCACATCGGGTACTTGAGTGATGCAAAATAACTAGTTGATGAACTATTATGAAGAAAAAAGCTTTAGTTATATAACATTTACAATCGGGGCTACTAGCTAGTAAAAGGTTATTATTCCTACTGGAGGTGTGGTAACGATAAACGATATTTTGCTGCTTAAAAGGACGCGTTCTCAAGAAAATAGCTGTCCTGAGTAATGAATTAGAATGGGTCAAATAATGTTTATGACTAGGCGTGTGAGGATGAGAATTAATTATCAAAATATGAAAATTGGAGAAATGGAAAAAGTGGTTTTAACGAGGTAAAAAAGGCTGCTTTATTTCACTATAATAATCGTCTTCTGATAAGGCCTCTACTGTCAATTACGCTTCTTCTACTTCACATTCTCTTCGATATCCTCACAACATTTCGTTCTCTCTCTGCAATGTGGCAATTACCACCAGCTGCCATCAGCTGCTACTAGCTACCGCGATCGCTGTCTTGGCTTTATGTCGCTTTCCTTTCAATTTTTTTACAAACATAACAATGTCATCTTTTGGGACTGTATCTCTTAGTTTCTTTCTCGTATTTAGGATGCCTTGTGGTTTCTGTAAAGACATAGCATCTCTCAGGATTAACATAAATAGTTGGAAAATAATTAGACACTTCTTTTTAATTAAAGGATTCTATAGTGAGTATGTTTGATTTTACTTGCTAATTTATTTATTCTTTGTAGCAAAACTGAGAGAGACACCATATCCGTGAGCTTGTATACTGTATCCGAACAAAACAGAACTGTTATCCGTGTTAAGCAGTTGTTCTGTACTAAGAGCAAATGAGAATGACTTAATATCAGCTGAATATCCAGCTACATCCTTTTGATGACTTCTTCTCTGCTATACTCGACTTTATGAAAACCTAAAAAAAAAATACGTAAAAATGTCTATCATTTATCTCATAATTGTTGCCAACTTTTACCTTTATCAATTCTTGTAAAAGTCTGGTATTGATAGTGATATGATGCTAACGTAAAGAAGCCTGCGGAGTGAGTGCAAAAATATGTGTCGAGTTTTTTTTTGCTACTGTCATTCCATTGAGTGATTCTAAAGGTCAATCCAGAACCTGTTTTGTCGCTAATTAACTTTCTTTTCCTTTACATGAGAAAAACAAGGCGTTTTACTAAGATTCTTCTTTAATAGAGACGTTTGGGGGGATCATATAAAATGTATTTATATGAATACCATGCTCTCATAAAATGATAGTGTGTTTCAAGATCACATAAAGAATAGTTTATATGACCTTCCCTCAAAACGTTCCTAATTTCGAACAGAGAAAAATGGACTTTAATTCCTATAACTCTGCTGAAATCCCCTCTTTTAGTATTCTATGACAGTACGTACGAAGACAATACTGGTAATACAGCTGTTGAACATGGTAAAATTTAAAGTTCTGTGATTTTGATACAATTATTATTAAACCTCAGCCAACAATCGCACAAAAACAAATTTCGTCTAATGAAATATCTTGAGTATTCCAATTTGCAGTGATTTTGTCTTTGCTTTTTTTTTTAAAAAAAAAGAAAAAGAGGTATAGAATAGTTTAAACTTCTCTCTAAATGCTGTGTTTAATATCAAGTATAAATCGGTTACAGAAAAGAAGCATTATAGTCAAAACATTTAGAAAGTGTATATATTTGTAAGAAAGAAAAAAACTTTAAACTGATGTTAGATTGTAAAATAAAGTAAAGTAAACCAGATGAAATAGAAATAGAACTTTGTTTTTGAAGAAGTACCATGGTACATGTAACATATTATGTATTATATATTTGTACAAGTGCCAAGATATGTTTGCCCATGTGTATGCGATATTCTTTTAAGCAAGCGACGACATGGTTTTCATGGGCATGCAACATTAACTCTCATTGGCTAAATGACATTAAATTTTATCGGCAAAAACATTATTTTCTAGCAACATTGTATGAGTATTTTATACATATATATACATATATATATGTTGGACTTTTTACAATTTTTATTTGAGTAATCAAAATAATATTTGGAGGGGTTGTGGTTGGGATATTCATAAAAGCAAACTGCAAACAATATGGGAAATAAAGAGAAAGAGATAAGAAAATGGAAAGAATGGAAAGGGCAGGATGAAATTGAAAAAGTTAAAAAGATAAAAGAAGTGGGAAAGGAAGGGTCTGCATAATAGAAAGCTTTTTTTTAAAGAAGTTTTTGTTTTCTTTGCTGTTGAGAATTGAAAAGGGGGTAATGTGAATTGAAGAGATATAAAAAAAGGAAAAGAAGTGAATGGAATACATTAGATAAAAACACATAAAGTGTTTAGATCTACGGAATAAGATAAAAGAAGGAAATAGATAGTAATAGTAATAGTAATAATAAGAATGGTGATAATAATGGTCAAAGGGATGGATAAAGAAAGAAGAGGGAGGAAGTAAGAAGGAGAAGGAGAAAGAGGAGGAAGGGAGGAAGACGAAGGAGGGAGGGAGGGCGGTTAGGAAGGAATATATGATGAAGAAAAAGATAAAAGAAAAATCGTTATTCTTCTTCAAGTGTCGCTAATTCGTTGCTTCTACGGAGAGAAGAAGAAGTAGTCGAGCTTCCGGATCGGCTCAGGCTAGGTGCAAGTGCTTCTGGTTCAAGTAGTTTGTTGCCAGAGTCAGAAGAACTGCTCTCGTTTTCATCGCTCGAAGACGACGACCCTGGGGTGGGCTCAATTGAATTCTCCTCTGGCTTAGCATTGGCATTACCAGACCAGCCAATAACACTCATTCGGCGAAGTGCCTTTGCCCATCCTCCATTAGGTCTCTCGGGTTCCTTGGCCGCATTCGAACTGTGTCTGCGTGTATTTGCTGTTGTTGTTGTTGGTTTATCCAGACTTCCGCTTGGAGTCGGGAGAGGTGAGGTTGGAATGACGGGCGCGGCCTTTGATCCCCAATAAGATATTGTACGACGACGCTGTTGACGATTGTTGGCAGTTGTGCTGCCGGTTGCCTTTCCCGCCAAACTGGTCGAAAGTGTGCGAGTGGGAACAGGACCAGGGCCAGCGGTGACCTGGGTCATACTCTTTTGGTTATTGCTGGTTTCTTTGAGATTCTCGTTAGATGTCCGTGGCTTTGGCTGGTCGATACTAAGTACATCCTCCAGCTGCTTGTTGTTGATAATCTTCATCAAGATCTTGTTCATGTACAACTGCAGAGCACGGTTGGTATCTGTCAGCGTTTTGTTTTCCTCATTGAGTTCTAAGTAAGATAGAATAAAATAAAATAAAATAAAATAAATAAATGGTCATCATGAGTCTTGTCTTTTTTGTCTCACCCACAACCACACCACACATTACACTCTTTCACACACAATATTTGATGTAAAATGATTACTATTATTTTGGTTTTTACTTACTGTTCATTGCCATCTCACTCTCACTAAGCTGAGTAATCCCAGCCATGTTGAGTTCTGCTGCAAGATTGAAACCGGTACTGCTAGTACTACTAGACGGTTTCAAATGTTGATCCAAACCGTCTTCTACCTGGGGATTATTATTATTATTATTTTAAAAAAAAGGTATCAATTGCTTAATTACTCGATCCAAAAAGAGAATATATATTGTACACAGCTTTTGGCTGCTTTTGGCTGCTTTTGGCTTTGGCTTTACCTGCATAATCGGGTTCATCATAAATTCACCACTAATTGTCTTTTCATGCAACAGGATCTGATAACTCTCATTGTCTTCCATCAGGGATCGATTGACCTGTTTAACATTTATAATCTCATGCTCTAGATGCTCGATGCGCAATGACTGCCGTTGTGCTTCGGCGCTTTGATCTTGGCCTAATCCCTTTTGCTTTTCGACCTCGTTCTTGAGATCCAAAATAAGCTTGTCTTGTGCCTTGATGGTCCGCTGGGCAATCTTTGCCTCCCGGCCATAAGAAGAATCAATAGGAGCCAGTTTTGGAACCGTAAGATTCGTTAGGTCCATTGCTTCCTCGGCTTGTTCGTGTTCTCCGATATCGTTGAGAGTATAGCCCGTAAATGGGCTCATGGTAGTGCTCATTGTTGTTGCTGTCACACTGCGTCGCCGAGGTGTGCGTGGTGTACGAGGCTCGCCACCATTAGCACTGAGTGAGCGTACTTGGTTGTAGAGATCTGCTTCTCTTTGTTGCCATCGCATACGATCATTTTCAAAGTTTTGGAGCTAATAAATATTTAAAGTGTCAATTAACCTTAATAAAACATGTTTAAAATGGGAAGAAGAAATAAAGTACCCACATATACACTCAAGCCCACCCTCATCCTTGTCCTTACCCTTACCCTTACCCTGAGACTTACACATTCTCATACTCTCTCATACTCTCTCGCACACTCATAAAAGTTTTGTATATTTTATAGGCTATATTGTATTCTTATTACCTCCTGAGCCAACTTCTTATCGGATTCTTTGCGTGACCTTGTAAGCATCTGGACTTCTTTCTTCAGACGGTCCATTTCTTGTTCTTGGGCATACAGTTGTGTTTCCAGGCGGGCCTGAGTGTGACCGTAAGTTGCATTATCATGTTGGATGCCGGCTACTTTCTAACGTAAAACAAAATAGTATTGTTATTATTATTATTTTGGATATTTTTGTAAATTGTTATTGTTAAATAATGTGACAATGATAATTCCAAATTGATGACAAACCTTTCGCAAGTATTCATTATCCCTTGTCATTTCACGCTCCCGGTCTTTACTTTCTTCTACTTGTCCCTGAAGCTAATATAGACATACATAAAAAAAAATGGTAGATATTAGAATCTTAATTGTTTTCTTCTTTTTATGGATATTTTTCATATTACTACCACTACTACTATTGTTGTTGTTATGGTTGTACTCACAGCAAGATTCTCATTCTGGGCTTCTTCAACCTCTTTCTGGAGTACCTGAATCACACTGTGGATTTCAGGTGTAGTCATTGTCGATCAAGATGGTGACTTGTTTATGGTTTGAAATGAGAGTAATGTTGGGGCTCTTTTCCAATTTTTAATAAGAGACCTGTTGTCGTTGTTTGTAGTAGAGGTAGTAGAGGTAGTGGTGGTGGTGGTGGTGAGGGTCCCTTGAATTATATATATATGTATGTGTATTACTATTATTATTATCTTTTTTTTTAAAGAATAATAATAAGAGTAAAAAAGAAGGAAAGAAAGAAAGAAAAGAAGTATTCCAGGTGAAGGTAGAGAATGAAGAAGAAGAGAAAGAGAAAGAATAGGAAGAATATTGCAATTACTATTTTGTTTTTTGTTTTTTTTTTTTTTGGAAAGTAAAAAGGTCATATATAATTTTTTATATATATAATAAAAAAAAAAGCCTTTTGTTCTTCTGTGCTACGTCTAGTTAGAGTGCTTCTCTGCTCTTCTTGGATGCTGCTGTTGAAAAAGGGGAAGAAAACTGGCTGTGCTGTGCTACAGTACAAAAAGGCAATTGAATTTAAACCTCATCTTGTCTTGGGTGAAATTGACACTTTTTTTTGAAAAAAAAAAAAAAAAAAAAAAAAATAGGGGTCACCATGACAACAAAAAATAAAAAAAATGTGCTGTATTGTCTCAATAAATAAAATCGGTGTTTAAAATATTAAAGGTGTCCAAACATAAAAAAAAAATCTCTCTTGATCTAGAATATCAAGTCTTTGCTCACACTTTATGAATTATTTATTCTAGTCTGTCATTTGGTAGATATGACACATATTCCTACGTATATCAAGGCTCCCCAGCGGAAATAGTATAGCCGTGATGGCATGTTAACCTCAGGCATTAGCAATAAGGAAAATTAAGAAATGAGGTCGACATTCGTGTTTTCTTGGATGTGGTCCACAAATAATTTATTGTATTTTAAACAATCAAAATTGGCACATTGGCGTGAATTATATTGGGAAAACTTTAACGTAAATCATAAGCCATTCAATTCAGAATATCTTTAATTGGCTTAATTAACCTTATTTTGATAGCTGTAAGGCATATGACTATAGAAAGAAAAAAGGTCTGGGTATAGTATTAATGCTTTATAACAATTAGACAGAAATAAGACCATTTTTTTGTGATCTTCTTTAGTGAGTTTGTCATGATGAAAATACACAGGTTATTTTAGAGAGAAAATAATGAGTGGGGTAATTAACTTAATCATTAATAAGTTCTTTTATCCACAGTTCTCGGCTAATGTAGAGGAGGCCGATTATCTTTTGGATGATATAGATGTGCACACTCTTTTTCTTTAATTCTTGTTTAAACATTTGACAAGTCATTTCAAAAATGAAAGGCTACAATAACTACTCTACCTCTATCCCCCTTCCTTATTCTTAACGTAAATATATATATATATATGCTTTATAAGATGATAGATTCCAAGGGTCTTGCGTTGTACAGAGAAAATCCTAAAGATTAGCAAATCTAAGAGGAGCTACGGCTTTGTTACGTTATCTTTAGTTGCACATTTACGCCAATTGATTGATTGATTGATTTATTCTTATTCTTATTCTTATTTTTATTTTTTTAGATTTGACAAGCTTACATATATAGTAAATTCTAATTTAAAGCAAAATGTCATATTATTATTATTAATAATTGATTCCAAAGCTTCTTTCTTTCTTTTATAATTTTTTTTTAAAAATGATATAATTATAGACTTTATCGATAGCTCATTTGTCGTTGTATAATGGTGTATTAAGGAGTTTATTGGTATACAAAAAGTATTGCACAGAAGAACATTAACTGTTTAAATGGGACGTAATATAAACTAATGATGTAGGGATATGACGATTGACTCGATGAGCAATGAAAACATTTAGATTGGCGAAGCTAGATATTAAGTATGTAAGATATAAATTCAATTCTCCAAGGTACCTAACAGATATATGTATGAAAGTAAATTATCTTATTAGAGATCTAGTTTAATAAGCGTATTTTTTTTAAAGTATTTATTGTAATAAGAGAAAAAGATATGGTAAATTTGACATTTGGTCAGGATAAAGAAGAAATACACGACAAAAGTTAAAATCTGAAATATATATATATATATCTTGAAAAGAATAGAATAATCAGGTAACATACATGATGTACATTTAGACAAAAGATATATCTTTTAATTAATTGACAGGCAATTGCCAAATATGGTATTTTTACCTTATATTATTATGATACAAAAGGTTGTGCAAAAAAAAATCAAAAATCAAAATCAAAAAGACAAATGGATCAAAAATAATAAAAAAAAATAAAGAATAAAGAATCTCCCCCAGTCTACATTGTCCCCCGCCCGAGGCCCGTTGTTCCTTTTGATTTTCAGACTCCAAACATATTTATATTTTATATATCTATATTTATATATTTAATAATATATACACCCACACCAATACACCCACACCCACACACTATTTAACATATATTCCCCTTCTTTATTTCCCCTCTTTTTTTTTTCTCTTTCTCTCCTTCTCTTCTTTATTCCTTCCGTTAAAAAACAACCTTTCAATTATGACACACCACGGACATCTCTTGTCAATTAACTACCGAGCACTTGTCACTCAGTACCTTGAGGAAGACGTGCCTTCTTTTGACTATGGAGGCTTCGTTGTAGGAGAAGACGAGCAAGAAGCATTGTTGTACTGTAAGGCCGAAGGTGTTCTTGCTGGTGTTCCATTTTTTGATGAAGTCTTTCGTCAGTTGGACTGCAAGTAAGTCATCCTTCTCCTTCTTCTTCTTATATACAATACTTTGTAAAAAGAAAAAAGAAAAAAAAACAATCACATATATATACTTCTTTTCTAACACGCGCTTGGTCTTATTTTGCTGTTAAAGAGTAGAGTGGCATAACCAAGAAGGTGAATGGATCAAACCAGAGGGTGGTAAACAAGTCATTGCCCGTGTTACAGGCAAAGCCCGTAATATCCTATTGGGTGAACGCACTGCCCTGAACATTATATGTCGTTGTAGTGGAATTGCTCTTCGGTAAGTCACATTAATTCACATGACTGTGGGAATTTGGCAATCTTTTCTTTTCTTTTATTATAATATTATATATATATTGATATCTGTGTATATGTATGTTGCTTGTATTTGGTTTAGTGCTCGCAAGGTACATGAGCTTCAGAAAGAGAAGGGCTTTACAGGTGTAATTGCTGCCACTCGAAAGACAACTCCAGGTAAAAAAAATTAAAAGTGAAAATTAAAGATCAAAATTAAATTATATTGTATATTATATTATATTATATTATATTAAAATCTAATCTATGTTGAGTCATCCTTAGGTTTCCGACTGGTCGAAAAGTATGGTGTTTTGGTCGGTGGTTTGGATACTCACCGTATGGATTTGTCTTCGATGGTAATGTTGAAAGACAACCATATTTGGAGTTCAGGTAACTTGATTATTTACAAGTACGCATAAAATTATTTAATATATTAATATGATTTATGTTATTTTTTTTAAAAAAAAATATAATAAGGTTCTATCACAAAGGCAGTAAAGCAGGCTAGAAGTGTATGTGGATTTGCATTGAAAATCGAAGTCGAATGTCAGTCAGAGGAAGAGGCGGATGAGGCCATTGCTGCAGGTGCAGATATCGTCATGCTTGATAACTTTTCTGGGGCTGGTCTTCAATCGGCAGCCAAGAGTATCAAACAGCGTTGGGCTGAAAAGGGTGTGAAACACTTTTTGATCGAGAGCAGTGGAGGAATTACATACGAGACTTGTGCTTCGTACTTTTGTAAAGGTGAGTTAGATTTTGCTAAAAAAAAGATTATTATTATTTTTATTATTTTGCTCTAATAGTTTGCTTTGATAGATATCGATGTTCTCAGCATGAGCACAATCACTCAGGGTGTTCCTCATGTAGATTTTTCTCTCAAGATCACCAAGAGACATTAAAGACAAACAATATGCAAAATATATATATATACAACACCATATAAAAAAACAGATACTTCTTTTGCCTTTTATATACTTATTACTGTCACCATTGAACAAAAAATAATAATAATATAATATAATACAGTACCAAACAATAAGAATAATAATATTGTCGGTTGTTTATTTACAAAATGTGGGTGTCTGGTCCACCTTCAGTCAGTGCGTTGCCTGCAAATGTATCATCAATCTTAGCGGCAACAGTCTCAAATTCAGTGGCAGTATTTCCGTGCATAGCGTTAATATCACGGCGTGCGGCATGGATTGCACCGCTGTTCAGTGTATCGGCAGTATGGAATCCGGTTGTATTTGAAGAATTGGTGACAGAGGGACCATCAATTGTATTATTCATGTTATTATCAGCAATACCATGTCCATGTCCGTGACCATGTCCAATACCAAAGCTAAAACCCTTTGATCCCATAGTTGAAGAAGCAGTAGATGCAGCAGATTCAGCAGATGCGGCGGTATCCTTAAATGCATCACCAATAGTAGATCTGGTTGAGCCAATTGATCGGTCTTCATATCCTGTTTCCATTGATTTGTCCACAAAGCCAGTATCCATAGTCCTGTCCTTTAGTTCCTGGGCATTATGCTGGGCAGTCTCTCTGAAAGTCTTTTGTGCAGAATTGAGTGATCCAAGTACACCGCTCACACCATTCATAAGGTTTGCGTTTCTTTGCTCGAATTCAGCTTGCAATTCTATTAGACACACATATATATATATGTAAGTACATGTTTAGAATACAAACGATATCATGAATTTCTATATATTAAATTTCTTCTTTCTCTTTATTTATTTATTTATTTTTCTTGTTACTTACGTGCGTCAGTTGTGTCTTGATATTCCATTATGATTGATGTCGTTATGTTTTTAAGAAAAACTTGTAAATAAAAGTGGGGGAAGAAGAAAAAGTTACCATCTTATGGATCTAATTTGACACCTCTTTATATACACAAAATATTTGACTATTTATTATTTCGTTTATGCTGTCCTGCAAGGCAAGAAACAGAACTAATGGCTTCATCGTGAAGTCATTGATTTGATACAGTGCCAAATAGGCTTTAGTCTCTACAGCCCAAAAAGCTCTGTGACTAGCATTATCTTGTGACTCCTTTTAAAAAGGAAAAAAAAAGTTTTTTAATTGGCTAGTTTTTTTTTCTCTTTTAGGATTCAAGAAAAATAAAAAATAAAAAAGTCAGGGTGACAGAGAAATAGAAAAAAAATTAGTTTTTTTTTTTTATGCTTAAAAAAAATCACACCAACATATATACATATACAACATATATACTATTTTTGTGTTCTGTGGGGGAGGTCAGATCCTATCATCATTGGTAAAGTCAAATATATAGTTAAACGTCAAAAATGTAACCACGATTGACCTTGTTTGGACCATTGCTTGACAACCATATATACATAATATTCTTTTTTGGCTTTAAAATAAATATACAGTACCCATACACACACAAATATATATATATATATATGTGTGTGTGTTTGTATTGTAAAGTCACCTGAAATATCACATACAGACTACACACACAAAATAGAATGTGGTTCTTGATATCAAGTATTATTAGTATTATTATGATCATTATATTATGTGGGGGGAAAAGGGTTCATTAGTATATTGATAAGATATTATAGAGCTAGTAATAATAAAGTAAAGAAAAAGGAATATTAGTGAATATTAAGTATTAAGTAAATGGATAATAGTAGGTAACAGGAAATCAAGCCAAGTCAAATGAAGTGTATTGCTCGGCAATAGTTGTCGAGGGCGTAAAGAAACAATGCTTCTGGCCAGGTTGTGTGGTTAAATGAGCAGGACTAGGCAGCCGAAATATCATGGCCTCCTGATCAATGCCAACCCAATGGTCACGTTTTGTTTCTTCGCAAGGAGAAGGAGGGAGATAGAGCCCGGAATCGTTGACCGTCGATAATTCGTAGATTTCGTCCTTTGCGGTCTCTCTGAGGGCAATGGTTTCAAAAGAAGATCGTGGAGTTGGGAGATTTTCCGAGGATTTGGATAAGAGGAAACTAGGTGTCCTGAAAATAAGCTTTGGTTTCTCTTGACTTTCTTCTGGAACTGGTGCTGGTGCTGGTGCGGGTCCTGCAGCTAGTAGTATTGCAGGAAGAGATACATCCTTGGTTGTATCTGAGTCTATGGTTTTTTCGATTACAGGGGTTGTCTTGTTACTACGCCAGAACCTGGCTGGTTTTACAAGAGCCTTGAATCTGGAGGAATAGTCGACAGTGGTGACAGACATTATTGTTTCTATGGCAACAAATGAAATATAGTTTTACAGTAATAAAATAAAAATTAAAAATTAAAAAAAAATATTATGTACAAATTATATATATATAAAATATAAGAAAGGGGAAAGAAGAAGAAGAGAAGAAGAAGAGAGGGAGAAAGAGAAAGAGAATGAGAATGAAGATAAGGTGGGAAAGGGTACCTTTTAAAGGTATCAAATCAAATCAATATGTTTCGTTAATCCTAGAGAGACGAACGCTTTCCAATAAGAGCCACTGCTTTTCTGACAAGGTTATTTTGAATGTTTTTTGTTTTTTTTTTTTTGTTTTTTGCTGCAGTTCGAAAACTTATACTGTAATAATAATGTTCAATAATCTACCCTTGTGGCCCGTTCAAGTTATCTACAATCTTCTGTGGCTATATTTCTAGTTTTCACAGCTCAATAACTTGACTTTTCCTTCTACCCCCTTTTTTTTTATTATTCAGAGTTGTACGCAAGAAAATAAAAAGTTGCGAGTTTCTGGATTTTTTTCTAAGTATTAACAGAAAAGCACAGACGTCTTTTTCAAAATAAAAAGAATTTGTGTCAGTAGAACTTCTTCTTCTTCTTCTTTTGATTTTCTCAGTAATGGTCATATATTTTCTGATATGGAAAGATTTGTCAACACGAATGAGATGGATCAAATCTAGAATGAATTGTAGCCATAAATAGAAAACCGTGGTTCAGAAAAAGAAATGGGCAATCGCTATGTGCAGAGAAAGTCTAAAGGTAGGTACAATTCTGACCACCTCGAACATTAAGAAACGGAAACAAAAATATGGTGAAATATTTTGTAATGATTTGAGGACAAAGGGCTGATACCCGGACTGGAAGGATAATTAGGAAATGTGTCCGCTTTGAATAATCACAAGAAAATCCAAAGTTGAGACGGCAAGAAGATATCTATCTATCTATCTATCTATGTATATAAAATATTATAACAATCTCATTATTTTTATCGCATCTTTTTCTTTATTATGAAAAACTGCTTTTATTGGATTAATACATATAATAATGACTTGTGTCTTTGTTTGTGCGTGTGTGTGTAACAACATGTCCTTTGTAAAAATTGGTGTTCCTTCTTTATTTCTCAAGGTACTCTTCGGGGGTACAAGGTTAATTTCTAGGTTTGGTTAACAAACTAGAATCATAAATTATTATCATCATTTCATTTTAGTTTCAGAGCCTGTCTCTTTCTCCTTTTCTTCTTCTTCTTCTTTTTTTTTTTAAAATTTATTTATTTTTCTCATGAGTTCTTCACGTCAAATTGTGCTTTCTATTGATCCTTTGTCAGAGGAAGCCGACTACACAGTTCAGTGGGTGGCCGAAAACTTTTTACGCAAAACGGACAACATATATATCTTTATGGTCTTGGTTGTCGAGGATGATAATGACGTATCGGATGAACTAGGTATATAAAGAGTGGACATAGACTTACTAGCATTACTATCATGGCAATGATAATCATGACAGTGATGATGATTTAAGCTAAAGCAACACTTCTTTGTTTCTTTACTCTTAGAGGCTGTGGTTTTTGATGATGGAACCCTGTCGGATATTCAGAAAGAGGTAAATGATGTGTAAAAAAAGAAAACTCTTTTTTATTTGGCCAATAAGGTTATTGATATATTTATTGATTTAGACTGCTGCCCAGAATTCTTTGGCTATGGCCAACATAGTAAAGAGGTTGAACGCCAAAGGATTCAATAATGTATCATACCGCATTTACAAAGCAATGGCTTCCAAAGCTTGTGATACTCTGGTTCAGTACATCGATTCTCAGAAAACAGATTGCCTTGTGATGGGAAGTCGCAGTCTGTCGGGGTGGAAAAGGTGAGATAGCCTATATGAAGATATACTATAGTGAGAAAGAGAAATAAAGATTCTTTTTTGGTTTTACTCATCCAATGCTTTACTTTTATTTGATCTCTTAAAGATTCTTCATGGGAAGCTTTAGTGATTATGTCCAGTCTCAAGCCAAGTGTCCTGTTCTGATTGTTAAATGATAATGATTTATACATTATTTGCACATAAATATTTCGCAACTAATTTTATCCACACATCAATGGATATCGTCAAACTCTCCCACCCACTCATCTATCTATCTATCTATCTATCTATTTATCAATATATCTATCAGTCACCTTTTATTCAATCATTGTGGGACAAGAAGATCGGATGTCTTGTGCTTTGCCCCACTAGCATGCTCCGTTTTCAACAAGATAATATATATAAAAAGAAATTATAGAAATTCCCCCAGATTTATGCTGACACACACACACACGCTAACTCACAAATACAAATACAAATACAATTTTAATTATTATTGAAACAATGTTTTTTTTATATAATCTATTGTCTGTCTTCAAGTCCTAAAATTGAAACAGAAAAACAAGATTCTTGATCAAATTGTTAACAATTGCTAAAAAAAAAACCTTTCTTATTCTTCTTCTTTTAATTAAATGATTATTTTTCTTTTCTTTTCGTAAATGCAGTTGTATATAAGTTACGTTTTATGCTATTGATAAACTTCTTCAAGAAATATATGGTTTAACCAATGGAGTCTATGGCCAGGAACATCTTGGATATGACTCTTATTTCATTCAAGATCAAGAGTATTCTCTTTTAAAAAAAAACTTGTCAGGCTACGTCGGTTTAGATACTAATGTAGTATTGATAGATCAATGGCTTTTAATGAAAGCAGGAAAAAAAAAGAAATGTAATGTAATGTACTGTACTGTACTGTACTGTACTGTAATGCCATCATTGCCTTGAAAATTAACTATTTCCATTTATTGTACAAAACATACAGGAATATGTATTGATATATTAATGTTCAAAATGCTTTGTACATGGTTGTAGGATTTCTTGGCATACTGATCTTGACCTGATGTTATTTGAGAACATTGGTTCCTTTGACTCCTTTGGTTTCCGTATCATAATAACTAATTTAACTATATATATAACCAAGAGATTACAGAGGCCTAGATCTTCTCTTTGTTAGTTTGCTTTTGTGTGCCTGTTATTATTATTTTTCTAATTTCTATGTGGTTTTGAGCAGGTTGATTTGTTGCTGTTCTGGATATTCTGCTGAAGCTTGATATATATATATATATATATATGTAATTTGTCGACCGAATTAAAGCAATAATTAGACTCAAACCAAATATATTTTCCGTAAGAGTTATAATTATTACAAGCAAGCAAGCAAGCAAAGACAAAAGAAGAACTAGAAAATAGAAAGGGAAGAGAAAGAAGAGTATTAGAGCGGGTGAGTGTGTGGAAAATTGAGAGGTTTGGTTACGTAGACCATGCACGTCTTGCATAACCGTAGTCACTAAAACAAATGTTGTTGATTGAACTAATGGGCTTAAACAGAAATTTTATTATCAAAACCATTAAATATATTCAGGACACCAATATAAAGATTCTACTTTAACAACGTAGGCTATTGAGATAGTAACATATAGTAAATGCTTTATAGATGTTATATGTGTCTGGATGTCTTTTTCTTATAAAGATTCTTGTGGACCATGTATATATTATATTTACCCCTTTTGTTCTATTATATATCATTTCATTTCAGTCTTGACAGCTTGTAATCCTCAGGATAGTCATATTCTACGGTATTGATTACACAGAGTATATCTGAAGCACAAAATGAGATTCAAAGGTCTACTAAAATAAGTAGTATTACTAGATCAATATCACTTTAGAATTCTATTGATCTATTCATCTTACATTGGATTAATAGCTCTGAACTGGTCGGTAAGGCTGGTTTTATACTGTAGATCAGAATTTGGCTAATTGATGATAATCTTTAAATGTAAATGCACCCAAGCCAAGTTGCTGTGATATAGTATACCATATATAGTATATTAAGCATATTTATCATCAAAAGCAACCAATCTTTGATGACATATCCAAATAAAAAAAAGTAAGGTAATGTAATGTAACAAAATTATGTGTCTCCTAAAAGGACAGTCATTAGGCCTTTCACACTTATTCATGTATAATATAATATGTCTATAGATACGTAAGCAATCTCGGTAAGACAGAAGAGATATTTATACTGCAATAGTTTGTAATTCATGCCATTTGATGTGCATATACATCAGTCTCTTGGGACTTTATGCCAGAGTAATAGCCAAGAATTTGTTCTACTATAAAGATATATAGCTATATAGCTGTTTTGCCTTTATAAATCTATACAAGTAAAACGAAAAATCGTCTGTGCCATTTAATTGATTAATCTCATTTAATCCATGTATAAAAGAGATGTTGCTTGTCTTCAAGGGATGGAATGCCCCTCTCATTTCATTCCTCCCCAATTAATCTAATTGGCGACGCACATCTCTTCGTTCTTGACAAGACTACACCAAGCCTTTCTTTTCGTTTATTTTATTTGAACTTCAAGACCATAATCCTTTCTTATTTATTTATATTATATCTGTGATTTTATAGTCTCTGTAACAATCATACCTCTTTTGTTCTGCTGTTTCTATACATATCTTTCCTCTTCTTCTTCTTCCACATCTTTTTTCTTCTTCTTTCTGGTACCACCTTATGAAGAACCTACTGAAAAACATTGTAGAAACAGCGCTTTTGATCTCTTTGGTAGGAGGGTATGTACCTGTTTTGGCCATCCAGAATGGTACATCTGTTTCTAGCTCGCAGGCATTTCCATTTTATGTAATGCTAGGAAACCCACACATATGTGGAGGAATGATCATCTCATTTGACCCACCGATTATTCTGACAGCAGCGCACTGTGTAGCAGACTCCCCACATCCATCTACCTTCACAGACCGTCCCAACCCTTACTTTGTTGGATACGGCCACAAAGATCGCAAACACCAAAAGATTGGCTCCATTTCGGATTGGAAGGTCCACCCATCCTATCAGCCCAAGCCAACAGATGAACCAGACATGCACTACGATACAGCTCTGGTCTGGCTGTCCGAGCCACTAAAGCCATCCACCAATGTCGATCGAATTGCTCTCTGGTCACCTACTATGAATCTCGATAATAAACAAGGTAAGTCATATGAGCTACTGTTAATGTTATCTAAAACAGATTGTGTGTATTAGCAACTCTGATGGGTTATGGGTACATTGGAAACAATCGACCGGAATCACCTGAACTAAAGAAACTTCATCTCGAAATCACTCAATTCAATGCAAATACGGCAGACATGATCGAAGCAAGATCGACCGATGACAATCTGATTGCCTGCCATGGTGATTCTGGTGGACCTCTTGTGGTCTATATGCCGGCATCAAAAGACAATTCGGATCCTGTTCTGATGCCATTTGTGCTCGGCCCGCTGGCCAGGATATTCGGTGTCCATGATCCAGACAAGGATCATCCAACATGTCCTATCCCACTCAATACAGCCAATACTGTCAATACTGCTGCTACCACTAGCAGTAGTTCGAGATCTAAGAATGTCACAATTACCGAGAGTTTTGCCAATGTGTCGAACATGCTAGACTGGATTTCGAACAGCACGGGTATCACACAGTCCAAATTGATCGATCCGTTTGATGTACCGCGCCGGTGGGTGTTTCCGATCTGTCGTCGCAAAGGATGCCCACAGCGTGAATTTCCGAACAGTCCCAAAGAGCCAGGAGAGGAAGAGGAAGAAGAAGAGGTTGAAGATGCCTGGGAGATTGGAATTGCGAATAAGGTTGATCCTTCAAACGATTCTCAGAATGTTGCCTGGATGGGATTGGTCAAACAGGACTTTCGTAACACCAAGGGGGTTTCAAATGGCTCTCCGAGACTTGGCTTTGGTGGAGATGGCCAATTGTTCTGGAAAACTGGGTTATTGTGTCTGTCGTTGATGTATTCATATTCTTACTGTTTTTATTAAGTCTAGAGAGCTATATTCATATCATTAGCACTTCTTATTCTTGGTGTGTATTCTAGTATTGTATTTTCCACATGTACAAACAACCCAAGCTACATGGCTTCCTCAAGACAACAGAAAGTTCACCGCCTTTCTTATTATATTATTATTATTATTATTATTTATTTATCTATCTAAATATTATGTATTAAATATCCTTAAAATATATATATAAACTTATTCTATTATTATTGAACACAATACAAAGGAGACAAAAGGTCTGTGCTTATGATCTATAGACTGCATAGTTAATACATGTACATATAAATTTCTTTGAGTGTCCGAGTGTCCGTGTGTCCGTGTGTGAGAGAAACAATCTATATATTAATGGGAACACGATGGTGTGCTTGTTACAATAAGATAACATAATTTGATTATTTATGTTGCTGTTATGATTTTTGTACCTTGACATTTCTATTGGGCTACATCGAGACTATTTCTAACAATCTACTTTTTAATTCGCCTGTGATGTTTATATTATGAAATGTCTCTATTTCTTTATTTATTTAATTTGTTATAGACTTTGATTCAATTGTTTGATTTCTTGTTTGGTTATCTGGCAATGACTATAATGCATTGTATTGATAATATCTCTATTGAATACAGTAATAGACCAATAAGACATGACTAGTATTTGTGCCTTGTGTACGATAATTAAGAATGATGTAACAAAACATTGTACCAAAAGAGCACGTACCCACCAATTTCTTGTTAATTGATCAAGAATTGTTTATATATATATATATATATTGGTATATTAACAGAAGAAGAAGAAGAAGAATGAAAGAAAGAAAGAAAGTTTAAAGCCTAAAGATGAAAGATGGGTGTAACAGATACTTTATTTTTCTTTTCAAGGTCTAAAAGAGTAATCTACTTGTTTCAGAGTACAAAACCTTTCTCCTTCTTTGGTTTGTGTTCTTTTAGATCAACTATTGTGATTGTGATTGTGATTATGTAGGTCTACAATCAGTGTTACAGTTTCATGATCACCAGCTTGTCATCCACAAATACGAAACTTTGCAAAAAGGTAATACTAAAGAAATATTAAGGAGAACAAAAGAAATATAAACATAGATGCTACAAAGATGAGTAAATTTGAAAAGGGAGAGGATATCGATCTTCTCTTTAATTGCTATTTGTTTTGTGTATTTGTGAGTAGCACCAAGATAGAGATCGAGAGAGACTTTCTTTAATACAAACCAGACCTCCCTAGAGAACCCCAAAGAGAAAAGAAGAAGAAGAAGAAGATCATTCAAATGTCTTTAGTTAGCAGTAATGTCAATGTGGATCAGAGAACATTATGTATGTGAATTGATAAACTGAAATATTGACTGTGTAATTAATAACCTGTTTTTACCTGGATATAATGGTGAGGATGGTGATGAGCATGCAGATATATATATAATATGGAAAAAGCAAGAAGACGAAGAAAACGAAGAAGAAGATCTCGAGTGAATAGATTATAATTAGCAGGGTTAGGTTGTGTTGTGTTATGTTTGGTTAAACTAGGCCTATAAAGGCTGGGCTGGTGTTTGCAATTAAAGCCACTGGGCTCATGAATAAAAATATAATAGTTTTGGAAAAATCTAACTAAGGAAAGGCTCTAGTGACTAAATGAGATATTTATTTTATTGGTATTTATGTATATGTGTTCGTGCTGCATAAATAAATAAAAGAGAGAGAGAGAGAGAAAAGGGAAAACAAAGGTGTGAGGGGGAGTTGATTATGAATTTATGCTGAGCACAATTCTTTTAGTTATATTTCACCGCCATTCCATTTTGTGATGTACATTACAGTTGTAAAAATGAGAATAGCACATGGCCCAAAGGGAGATATAGTGAATAGAGTAAACCCCGGATATACATCAGCTCTAAAAGTAATTATAATAGTCACTAGCATCGTTAGCAGCATTAGCAGCATTAGTATCATGCACTGGCGGAGAAGGAAGGGGGTGGTTAGCCGCAGTTTTGCATGGAAACAAAAAAGTTACCCCTCTTGTCTGTGCAATAACTATAGATATAATATATATACAAAGATGAGAGAAAGGCGGTTGGCTGTGATGGAATATGGAAATGTGATATTAAATAATTCCATATATGTACATATAAATGTGTCTCGATGATGTACATGATGCTCTTGTACTCTGTCCTACAACATTGATCGATTCCATTCTATATATAAATATTATAGCTGTAGGTATAGTCAAACGAAAGGAGGGTAAATTAAGGGAGAATATCCCTCAAAAGAAATTGTGTTGTGCTTCTCGGTTGTAACTACAGTTCGGATTATCTGGTGCCTGGAGCCGGTATAACATAAGTTTATATATTTTAGACCAATAGAAATAAACTGTCTTGACTAAATTAACAGCTGTGTTAACGGCAAGAACCCTAAAAAAGGCTATTTGTCCGTTGATGTTTTAAATACAAAAGAAAAGAAGGTTACCCGGGAAGAATTCTTGCCATTTTGTGTGATTTCCAATATACATATATTCTGTCTTGTGTTCTCTTCTTTGGACATTAAGTACATACAAACCAATAGCCGTTGTTATGTCTCTTGTCTTTTGTTGTTCTTCTTGAATGAGTCTATTGGCTTTAACGATTGTACTTTCTATTTATTCAATAAAGAGAAAAAAAGAGAGAACCTTAAGATCCTTTGTTACATATCCAAATATAAAAGGTATCAAAACAAAAAAAACAAAAACCAGATGATGTGCTACAAAGATCCTTGTAACTTCTTCGGATCTTATTTCTTAAAAGAAAGAATGAAAATAAAGAGAAACAGAAAGTGTTCTTGAACATTATGAAGCGTATTCCTTTGTGGTAATTAAGTCTGTCTTGGATATCAAGTCAAGTATCAATACTACATAAATGTACGTCCTCCTTTAGAGTATAGTGTAGTTGAAAAGGATGATAGGTTGGCCAGCATGCATATTTAATATTCTCGACCAGTGTAGATCCCTGGTAGATATCCCCACACCTACTCTCTCTGTGTGTGTGAAATGGGATGTAGTCGGACAAATTATCCTGCATGTAACAGTTGCTGAATGTCAGGCACATAAACAGCTTGTTTGTCAGGGAAACTGTAAAGACAAGATTTGTTAACTTTCCATTTCTTCTGTACTATGATGTTATAGCCATTGACTTGACTAAACTCTAACCACAGCTTCTCTTGTTTTGACACACCAGAAGATAAGAATAAGATTTTTTTGTATGATACATTAGAAACAGATTTTACTATAATTTATTTGCTTGGAACAAATGGGAGTTAATCTTAATCTTAATGTGCATAATATGATATGATATGATATGCTATACACAGCCAGACAAGCCATGGTCAATAAAGAAAGTAGTAATGAGAATTAAAGTACAAGTGTCGTTTATTTAAAACACACAGACACAGTTGCCATGTATTTTCATCTTGTACTTTATCCAAATATCTGTTTTGACAGCTCCAAACTCAACTTTGGTTTGAATTTTTCTTGGTTGTGTCGTAATCGAATGTTGATTAGAATCTAGATACCTTAATTTACTTTGATGACGAATGAATAGGAATAAGAATATTAGCATTAAACAGTCTCTTGATAATAAAGAGGTTCTGTTGTTATTTTATTAGTTTCCTTATTTTTCTTGTTTGGTGCACAAGACTATTAATCAAACTTGGATGACGATGGCAAATAAGAAATGTCACCATGCCAACCTTGTCCTGTTGTTATTATTTCTATTCTCATCATATTCTGAGTCTAAAGGATGTTTTACAAAAAAAATCAAAAATGCGCCTTCAGTAGTAAATATAGTTCTTTCCTTTCTCTTCGATGCCCCCCCGTGTATCTTTATTTATTAGCTTCTATGCATCTATGGCCTGCTTGCTCGTCCACATGTTTTTTCTGTCTATGTTCATATTTCCATTTCAATTTTGACCTCAATCTTTATTATCACTATTTCAAAATCAAGCTAGGCTATTCTTGTGTGCACAGAACACCACCCCCCTCTCCCACACACACACACAAAAGATATTGCATTATAGTATTCAACCTGAAAAGGAGAACAAAAAATTATTATTATTTTGCTGGCTAAAATCTCCTGTGGACAAGATTGGTATTTCGTGTGTTACTATAATGATCATCTCTTAATTCTTTCTTTTATATTATATTTTACTTTATTTTATATGGGTGAGCGTGATGCGGGGAAAAAGGATAGGAGATTTAATGAAAAATAGAGTAAGAAACACATAAACATACAAAATATTTGCGATTTTAGATGGAGTTCATTGTGTAAATATTTATTGAAAAGAAAAGAGGATAAAAGAATAAATAAATAGATGATGATGGTTATATGCGTATGCCAGAAGAAGAAAAAGAAAATTATTGTTGCTGTTATTATTATTATATATATATATACAAGGCCCTGGTAGAAATTGGACATTTGATAGATTTGATAAGTCGGTTTTGGAGGTTTTGGAGGTTTTTGTGGCTTTTGGAAATGGTTTAGGTTGATAAGGCTGAAATGTAGACTCTTAGAGACCAGTCAGGTTCCATTGTTGTGGGCTCGTAATAGGTGTCTTGTTCGACAATGTGTTTTTCGTCTTCTTCGTCCTGAGTAGGGACTGCGATATAAGTCACGGCTTTGAGGAAGACGAAGAATAAGATGATGATTTGAACGGCCATGTCTTATAGAGTAAATATGTGAAAGAGAAAGAGAGAATAAGGGAAGAGAGAAAAGAGAAAGATGTTCGGGTGAGAAAGGCAGCGAAATGTGAAATTTTAAAAATATAATTTCTGATGTTTGCCTTTGTGGGTCCTTTATTTATACAATTTGTGGCTGCCAATTTAAGTTGCTTGTCACCATGTAAAGCCGAATGATCAAACACACACACACACACACAGAGAGAGAGATAGATAGATAGAGAGGAGGGAGAAGGAAATTTTTGTGGAAAATGAGAAACACGTGCGATGCAGTCATCTGGACCCTGGCCCTTTCGTACCAAGATTCCTAAAGTTGCATTGACATTTTGCTTTAAATACCTTGCCCGCATACACACGTACATAAATACACGTACACATACATACCACCTCACAAGAAGAGTAGCTTCTACACAATGAAGCTCCTCTGAATAGACACTTGAATACACGATTAAAATGATTGATAAACTCTATTTTTCATTTCTTTTTTGGTATATAGTTTTTGGCTTCAATGGAAAACAACTGCGTCATTGGATTCTTCTTTGTGCCTGAGAATAAGAGCTCGGCATTACAAAATAGAAGAAATGCATAAATAAAGGAGAGAAGAAGAGAATGATAGAACAGAAAGATAATTCTTTTTTTAAAGAAAAATAATGGTAAAATCAATCAGCTATTTGTCTATACATCTATCTAGACAATAGTAGTCGAATAACCATCGTATCACTATTACCATTGACATCGCATTTGCTCTCTATTATGCCAAAAAAAAAGGAAATTTTGTGTGCTTGGAGTGGATAGAAAAATCGCAACATTTCCAAAGAACTGTCAGGAGCCTACCCATATTTTCCGACCACCATCGCAGAAAAACATTTGAGATATCAATCAAACTCTATACGAGATGTTTGTGTTGACACTCGACCAGAATAATAACAAAAAAATTAGTTTTCTTTTAATTGGAATTTAGCAGAGACCCGTCCGCCCACAAAATCGGTATAGCTCCACCCTTTTCTTTCTTTCTGGAAAGATAAAGGATCGGGTTAGGTGGGCTCACCACCTTTAAAAAGGAAGCTTTCTACCAAATCGTACGATTCTCATGTAGAATTCAAAGTCTGTAGAAGCAAAACCATGCTGTACGAGGAATATTCGAAACCAAAAGAAATAAAGAAAAAATTCAATTGGGATGTTGATTAGATTTACTAAAGTTCAAATCATCTGTTTCAATAAATAATATAGATAACAGAAAAAAGGCTTATTGAAACCGGGCCGGAAGCGACTAGACCGCGGAGCGAAAGAAGGAAGTTCAGGGATCCTCAATGCCGATGAATTTTGAAGGGCTAGATATCGAAATGAATTAAATGTTGTGGGATGATAAATGACAAAATGACAAATTGTCCACCCATCCACGTGAGTATAGTGGGCGTAAAATAGGATCGATTTATCCCAGCCGAAAGGTCCTGCTCTTCTTCTTTTTTTTTTGTTTTGCCTTTTTGCTTTTGGTATTGATAATACAGCATATAAACCGCCTAGAGTCAGCAACCTTTTCTGTTAGAAAAGACACCAGAGATATAGTATTCCGTGCCAAGATCTTTGGAAACTATTACATTACACTTTGCTCTCAACAACTCCAAAACAACGATATCCCTCACTGCATCTTTACACAACATGTTTGGTATTCTGTCTGTCAAATGGGGAATGCAAAAAGAGTTACAAGCACTATAAACATACCATCAGATAAATTAACAGTCTGGAATAGACTTAGCTCTAGTTATAGGGCTATTGCATATATATATAAAAAACTGGGGGAGGAGCTTCGCAATGTAGAGCCGAAGTGTGCCCTGAGCTTGCTACACTGAGTGATAATAAAGAAAAAGGCGCATTTTTAAAACCCGATATTTCTTTTATATTTGCAAAGCTTTATTCTTCTTCTAAATTAACACCATTCATAATGAATTACAAAACTGAATGCATCAAAACAGACTCCGAGTCTTCTTCTAAGCTTATTAAAAAGACAGACAATGTAACCCCTGTGATTATTGTACGCAAGAGCATTCAACATAATTCCAAGTAATCAGACATTGCTAAAATGCTCAATGTTAGCACACATGTTGTGGTCAGAGTACTTGACCAATACAAAGAAACCAACTCGCACGGGAGAGTCAAGAACCCAGGAAGGACTTTAGATCTGAAAGAAAGGGTTTTCAGAGAGATCTTCTATGACATCAAAAGGGATCCATTGCAGCCAATGTCAGCAATAAGAAAAGCCGCTGCCAATCCCACCTCAACTATAAAATTCCGAATGTTTCTTCATAGTAAAGGAATATACTCTCGAAGACTAATCAAGAAGCCAAAGATTACAGAGGCTAATATGAAAAAAAAAAACGCTTGGAATTGACTAACGCTAATTTGGACTGGAGCTTCACAGACTGGAACCCCACCATCTGGTCTGATGAAAATATATTCAAGTTCTGCGGAAGTGATGGGCGCAAGAGAGTTCTTGAGTAAGACAACACCGGTCTCCTCTCCAACTTTGTCTCACCGACCATGAAGTTTGGAGGAGGTTCTCTTATGGCAAAGCTGTCGGAAATCCAAAAATTATGACAAGAAATATGGATCCAAAGAAGTACATCGAAACTTTGGAAGATACGTACCTCCCCTCCTTGTCTGCTTTCAAGCAAAAAGATAGCTTGAGACGCTATAAGCTTCAAGGGTATAATGCCAGCTCATACACAAGTGTGCTAACTACAGCATGGAAGAAATAACGGAAGCTCCAAATTTTGTCTGACTGGCCACAACAAAGCCCTGACCTTAACCCTATGGAGCATATTTGGGCATTTTTAGATGATAAAGTAAGGTCCAACAAGTATAACTTTTATAGCTTATATCATATTAGGCTTGCTTTAGAAAAATAATTGAAGCGTATTCCTAAGGAATACTTGATTATCACTCAGTATAAAAGAAATAATACGACAGACTAAATATCAATCGTAGACCATGATTTGGGTATTAAAGTTTTTATCTTCAAAGAGGTTACCCAAATGTATCGACCAAGCTTCCTTGACCCTGGCAGAAAGACAGTTTTTACAGCTGCTGTTGGACTTGATCCTAATGAACATCAACTGAGACATTGTACAACCAAGGAATATTATCATCTGACAGGCTCTACATTGTATGCCAGGAAATTGCAACAAGAAAAGGATACTGCTGGAATTACAGCAATCGAGTCTGCTACACCTTCAGCTAAAACTGGCAGAAACATACAATTTCTTCGGTATGCCGATTACATGCTTCCCAACATGGACACTTTGTTTACTTTTTGTGACTATAATACTGCTAAATATCGGTTCAACTTATACCAAGGCAAACAAAGAGCTCCTGACATGATGGTCAATATTTTGTTGAGCGGCAGTGCTAGATACAATAGGAGAAGACATTTTAGGAAGAAGAACAGAAAACAAGAACGCCAAAACAAAAGTAAGAAAGGGAAAAATAGGCAGTAACAATATAAGAAGTAAGTTCAAAAATACAGTTTTATGTCTTGGTGTAAGCCTACTGATTTTATATACTTTACTATGAGATATAAGTTGAAACCATTAAGATATCCAGAAGACAAATCAAAAGTTCCATTTGTTGTGTTCGGGAACGGGATGTTTGGGAAGGATCGGGTGAAGCTGAAAGGTTTACGCTGTAGTGTTGCTGGTGATCTTCTAGTACTACCAATTGATGAACATCCAGCCTCTAAGATCTGCAAAATATGCAAAAGTAGGACCCTAATAGACCATCCAAACGTCAAAGGTCAAAGTATACTTGTCTGTAAAACATGTAATACACTTTGGCAACTAATTCTTCTGTCTCGATTACATTTCCTCTTTGTCTAAAAAAGGCAAATTTATTGTCCAAAAATTCATTTTGATTCGCCCAGAAAAAGAAACTGGAATCGTTTAAATTTAAAGTAGAAAGTACTGTAATATGGGTCAATCAGTTCCCACATCAGAAACATCTTTCGATAACAAAGCAACCCAACTAAAAACCACAATAAACCTCCAAAAATAAGTGAAATGATTCTTTTTAAAAAGAGAGAGAGATATATATTTTATTAATAGATTAGACGTACAAGAAATACCACATAAATTTAGAATGAGGTGGTCAAATGAAGCTTTAAGCTCTTTTTTCTTTCTTTCCCGAGAAAAAGACTATTGTTGATGGCATCCTGACACAAAAGCTCAAGCTGCAGTGGGTCAAAATTTATTGGAGAAACCAAGATATCAAGGCAGTGTTGGCCAATATATTATTTTAACATACCACACGCACATATATATATATATATATATATCTTTTTCTCTTGTATGTTTTTGTTTTGTGTTTTACCATAGTGTACAGCAGGATATTTATATATTGAAATGATTGTATATAATTATATACATTTATGTGATTACTTGTTGTGGTTGTTTGAAAGATATCATTAAACCATTGAAGTCTCCTTGAAGGGATAATCTATTCAAATTTGATTTGGTTTCGAGTATTAATATTTGTAATCACAGAGAAATAAAGAATTGGAAAGAATACGTTTAATTCAAATAACTGACCAATTGTTTCGTCCTTCTTTCTCCAGAGCTTCTTCTTTCGCTTGGTTACTTGATGCTCAGCCCAAACTTCGACACAATGCTTCTTTTTAAACTTGCGAATATATGAAGGATCCCTAATTATTATATATATATATATATATTTTAAAAAAAAAGGGACAATATTAGTAAATGGTTATATATGCATACAAGAACTGCGTATGTTTTTGTCCTTGTTTTGCTTATACCGGAAATTTATCTTACCAGAGTTCAGATGCAATACCCAAATCTTTGCAGCATCTCATCAACGCATTACTTTTACATCCCTCTGATGCAGTTGGGAGACCAGAGACATCAAAGTAATCTTGTTCACCTCTTGCCTGAGACACAAATCTAAATAAACCAAAATTACCACCCAACATCCAATGATTTATATATATATTCTTTAATCATCCAATATTCATCATCTTTCTTTACCTTCCATGACACACAAGAGCATACTCACGCGATACATTCTTTGGTGAGATTGAATGTTCACCGCGAGGAGCCAAACCCCAGCCTAAATACAAGTCAATGCCAGTAAGTAAAATATATAGATGTTGTTTTATTCCGTACCTCCAGGTCCAAATGCAATATTTAGGATACGACGATACTTTATCTCTGGAAGATAAATCATGCCATCTAAACATCATTTGAAATTTAGCAAACCTTGTTCTCCTTTTCCTTTAATATTTATATAAAATACTTGTTTCAAAAAATAAAAATAAAAGAAATATACCGATTTCCCGGTTAAACAAAAAAAAATGTAGCATTTATTAAGCTGGTGAACTTTCTTTTACCTGGTTTTACTTCAATGTCACTTTCATTGATTGGCTGCATCAACAAATTAGAAATTTCAGAGGAGAATGGTTGGGTTGAAAGTCCATGGAAAGATGTTGACCAATTACGGGATTCGGCATCGTCAAAATCATCCAAAGAACGATCAAACTGAACTGATTTTGGGAAATAGTCTGTAGATCCAGTTGGCACAGTAGAAGGTACGCCGCCACTACTGGTTGTATTACTATTAAAGCTATTTTCAATCACTTGTTCACCCTCGATAGCCGAGGGTGCCGTAGTCCGTGTATAGGCTGTGCGTGGTTTATCGGAGCGGTATTTGTCGGTTTTGATGGTTACGGGTTGACTGTCGGTAGTCTTGCTGACCTTTAGAGTTCTGGTGGTTGTAACTGAACGAGAGAATGACTAGAATGAAATGTCAACCAAGAAAAGAAAAATAGTCTTTGGAAATAAGAGCAGGAGAAAAATAAGGTGTAGTAGTAGTAGTAGTAGTAGGAAGAGGAACAAAGTGAAAAGAAGATAAGCTTACAGGCACACTACGAGTCAAGAGGCCATTATGCTTTAAAGTAGCGGTTCGTAAAGAGGAAAACATGACTTGATGTTCCTGTATACTCCTTCAAAGAATATTTTCTTCAAATTTGTGTGTGTATATATTTGACAGGAAGCAAGTACTCAAAATGAGGATGGTCCAACTTGAGATATTAATGAAAGCATGTGTGTGTGTGTGTGTGACTTTTTTGTTACTAAGCCTCTCTCGACTCTCACACCTTTTAAAAAAAAGCAAGTGTGTTGGTGTACATGCTTTGTTGAAAGAAAGGAAAAGAATATTAATGTGAGATTTCACTTTTATTGATAAACTATTAATTGATAAATGACAGAATCAGGCGTTAATAGTATCATATATATGCGCACACACACACACACACACACACACACACACACAAGAATCAAAAGGGATAAATGTGGATAAAGATGTATGTGTGATAGAGTGTGAGTGTGTAGTTGATAATTATATAAGCAGATAAATAGTTGAATGGGCTGAATGGCTAAATAATTGAATAATTGATCAAATTCCTAAATGTCCTTTCAAAAAGCATCAATGTCCGTCTTCTCGGGTATTCCCACAAATGTTAAGCAGTAGCATATCATTTGAGCTGATATCGGAATATAAATAATGAATAATCCAACTAAGAAACAAGCATTAAAATATAATATATATATTTATATTTAAAAAAAAAGCATATATTTTCTTCTTTCTTTCTTTCCTTCTTTCTTTAATATAATCTCTAATGTCGGATACAGAGAATAGCTCTCTGTTGCCTAGGCCAGTAAAGCTAACGAGTGGACATTACAGAACTGCAAAACTATATGGAATTGTATCACTTGGCTTCTTCTTGTTCGCCTACATCATTCAATCTATCCGAACCACCCTTCCAACAGTCTTGGTCGACAAGGATGCTATAGCTACCGATGGATTTGCAGGAATGCACGCTTACGACACATATCTATCCCAATTTACCGAACCACATTCGATGAACTCACATGAATTCAATCGGCTCAACCATTGGCTTGGATCTCTTGCCTTGGAGTTTCAGACAGAAGGTCGTGCGCGTGGACTTTCTGTAGATGTGGTTGTAAATGATACAATGTTCTTGGTCGCAAACAGTTACTTTGTTGCAAAAGGTACATATTATATGTCTACATAAAGAGAAGAATAAAAAAAACATACGATGATTATAGTAATTTTTCTGGTATTAAGATACATGTGTGTTAAAGAAAGAATGAAATAAATGGGCTAAATAAACATACTACTATTTATTAGATGAACATTGGTTTGTTGCTTCTCGCAACATTCTTGTACGCATCCAAGGAAAATCAAACACGGATGATGCGATTTTGATTAACGCACATTATGGTAATATTAGAATGTGATAAACCATAATTCAATTCAATTCAATTCAATTCAATTCAATCCAATTCACACATACATGTAATACTAAAAGCTTAAAAAAAAGGCTAATCACTAAACAAATTACAAATTATACTTGTTAACCACTTGTCTTTCGTTTCTTTTAATGATTCTCTTTCTTTGTGTGTGTTTTTTGTAGATAGTGTACCCACAAGTGCAGGTGTGACAGATAATGGAATAAGTGTTGCAGTTACACTAGAACTGCTCAGATATTTCATGGACCACCCTCCTCAGCATTCCCTTATCTTCCTCTTTAATGCATTTGAAGAAGGTGGTTTGCTGGGTGCAAAATCGTTTGTGAAACATCCCTGGTATCCCTCTGTCAAAGCATTTGTCAATCTCGAAGGCGCTGGTGCAGGTGGTCGGGCCATCATTTTTAGAAGCTCTAGTCTTTATGCTCTCCGCAGCTTGGCCTCGAGTGGGGTACATTTTGTACATGCATCTCCACTAGGCAATGATATGTTTAAAACAAAACTTTTAAAGAGGTAACCAAAACCAAATCAAATGAGAGAAATAAAAAGTAATTAACATAATTATATACGGCAATAAAATTACAGTGACACCGACTATACCATCTTTACGCAAAATGGTAAACCTGGTGTCGATATTGCATTCTACTATCCTCGGTCCCACTACCATACCACCCGAGACGATCTGGCCCACATCACTCCAGAAGCAGTCCAATACATGGGCGAAGTTGCACTCCACACTGTGCGTGGAATGGATGCTGCCGATGGACTGACCCAAAAGATCAAAAGAACCAAAGAAGAAGACGAAGAAGACAGACAGATGGTTTACTTTGATATCCTTGGCCGATTTCTGTTTGTCTACACATTTTCTACTTACCAGATCCTCAACTTTATCGGACTGTTGGGCTTCCCGGCCGCAGTCCTTGGCTGGGCAGTCTATACCAAACGCTCTTCGGCTGCCCATCTTTCCTTATACACAAAAACTCTCTCTCAAAGCATCCTGGCCACTCTAGTTGGTTTGCTTGGTGTCATGGTGTGTTTTGGTCTGGCTGTGTGTATTTTGATGGCCGTAAACCCTCTTGTAAGTTTCTTTCTTTCTTTCTTTCTATAATATACATAAATCAATCCATTGATTGCTTGCTTGATTCATTGACTGGCCAATGTTTTCTTCTATCTTATCAAACCCTACACAACCAATGCACTCTTGCACCCACTTACAACTCTGTCAATTTTTATCAGGTTACCTATGGAAATATCTACTTTGTGGCTCTTTACATTCTTGTTGCCTGTGTTCTTGGGCTTGTTCTGTCTCAAGCCCTTCTCACTCGTATCTCTCCACCTCTCAGAGTTGCTCTGAATAATCCCAATATCGGATTACTGGGCCTCACCAGTCTTTGGTGGCTCTTTACTGCTCTATCAATCTATCTTGGAACCCTGCGACTGAGTTTCATGTTCTTCTTTATCTTTATCTTGGCCAGTTCGGCAGTTTCGTTTGGATTGTATCACTTTTTACCCCGCAGAAATTCTTGGCGCTTGCCCAGTGTTCTTTTGTCTCAGATACTTGTACCCAGTATTATCCTGGTTGAAAGTTGGTACCTCACCATGGACTCTATGCGACATGCCACTGTAGATGGAACTCCAGAAGTAGCAGGTAATAATAATAATAATAATACTAATAATAATAATAATAATCTATTATTATTATTATTATTATTATTATATGTATGTGTGTGTTTGTGTGTCTCACATTTGTTGTTATTGTATCAAGTCTATGTATTGGTTGGTCTACCTATTATTTTACTAGTAATGCACTTCTTGCCATGGATCCATGTTGCCGAAAACAAAAATTCTTCTGCCATTGTTCTTGGAGTCTTTTTTGTCTTTCTTTTTACGATCTGCTCTGCTCTTCAGCCATTCAATGCCGGATGGTCACCAAACAAGCTGGTCTTCAATCAGTTCTACAACACTACCCAAGCCACCTCTTCTGTTCAGATCGTCTCTGCCGCGGGTCTCCAAAACACTCTCACACGCACCCTTGATCCGAACGAACTTATCAGCCTAGAATGCAAACCCCATCTGACCTATCAAACCAAATGCACCTATACCACTACAAACGATTCTGCTGCTACTGCTGCTGCAGTCGGCACAAGCTCCAAACATCTGCCTGAGTTTGGAAGTGACCCTGCAGAATTTGATTGGACTGCAGAGACGGTGTGTACAGACGAGAGCTGTACAATTGAGGGCGTATTTACAGCAAAGAACAGTATGCACTGCCGAATCATGTTTGAGGACCATAAAAACCAGCCCACCAATATCACACAAGCATGGGTGAATAATCATTATGTCAAGGACACCGAAATCCGCACATTGGTTTCTTACACGGGTGTCTTTGGGGCTCCTGTTGCGTGGGGTGCAACATACCCTGCTAACCAAACATCCTTGCCTGTTACCCTGGGCTGCTTTTACGACGAGTGGACCGAGGGACAGATTCCGGCATTTAGTAGTCTTCGTGATCGCTTACCTCAGTCGGCAGTGTTGTTGATCCGTGGCCAAGGGTTAGTCTTGGTGGAATTCGCTAGACTTTAATATGATTAATAAACCAAGTACCCTGTAAAAATGAAAATGAAAATAAAGCGATTAATTGATCAATCAATCAATAGATACGTATTTAAAGACAAACACGAATTTAAAAATTGTGTGTGTGTGTGTGTATATGTGTTAAGTGCTGTCTAAAGAAAGGAAAAGCAAAAAAAAAGGGGACTTGATGATTCGGTTAATATAATTACCGAAAATTATCACAATGCACAATAAAGCATAAATTCCAAACCCTTTAAAATTCATGCGCACGTGATGTTCATAATGTACACTGTATAAATATACAAACCTCTAACTCTCTCTATTTCTCTCTCTCTGTATTTGTATATATAAACACACACACACACGCACACACATTAAACTAGTTATATTTTCAACCTTTTGGTAATATTTGCCTTTTTTTCTCTTTAGTATAAATATATATACATATCTATTTTTACTTTGATCATTCCGAACAATGAAACGCATTGCTAGCCACGCGGGATCATGGTACTCCAATATACGTAAGGATTAGGAGGTTGACATTCTGTAAAGCTTAACTGACATGTATTTTCTATATTTTTATATCTATTTCTCTATAGCTGAAAAACTGAACCAAGAGCTTAGTAGCAATCTACAGCTTGCTGAAAAATATCTCACCAAGCCTATTCCAGGAGCCAGAGCATTGATTGGCCCGTAATTATATACATATCCTTACATAGATAGGCACAAGCACAGACACATGTATAATGTATGTGTGTGTGTGTGTGTGTGTAATTAATAGTCTATACAAGAAACAAGGATATTTACATATGTGTATATTTATACTTGTACTTGTAGACACGCTGGTTATGCATACAGTGGTCCAACAGCTGCATACGCCTATGCCTGTATAAATCCTGATCCAATGTAAGTATCGGTGGTTTTTCTTGCTGTAAATATAATTTTTTAATTGTGTGTTTGTTTTTTTGTTTTTGACATATTGGATGATATTTGATGGAAATTTCTTTTCTTTTTTTTTGATACATATACATATTGATTATAATTTTAGTAAGCGTGTCTTTTTGTTGGGTCCGTCTCACCACACCTACCTTGAAGGCTGTGCACTTTCAAAATTCAAGTCTTATGAAACACCCTTGGGTGATCTTTCTGTGGATACACAAGGTAAGAAGACTTGATTTTTATTTTACTTTGATACAATACAATATAAATAATATAATTGAAGGTACTGTTAAAACTAAAGATAAATGGGTATATAATCTTAGTTTCAAAGGAATTGTTTGATACTGGTGTATTTGGCTGGATGCCACCCTCTGTTGATGTAAATGAACACAGTCTTGAGTTGCATTTGCCATTTATTGCAAAGATTTTCGAAAAGTAAGTAAATAGAATCATGATTGTAACAGTGTGTTAATAATAATAATATATATAACATAATGATGATGGTGTTTTCGTTGTTCTTGTGGTAATCATTACTCAGTAAACTTGATGATATCACCCTTGTACCTGTCCTGGTTGGATCTCTCCAAGTTGAAGAAGAAAAGGCCTATGGAAAGATCTTTGCCAAGTACCTCAATGATCCCACAAGCTTGTTTATCATTTCATCAGATTTTTGCCATTGGTAAATGATTCTATCCACCCACAGATATATATATATATATATATGTCTTGGTATTTATTAATCACATCTCTCTCTCTCTCTCTCTCTCTCTCTCTCTTTTTCTTATCACTCTTATCACTCTTGTGTGTGGATATGACTGGCTTTTGTAGGGGAAAACGCTTTGGATACACATATTGTCCTCCAACCCCCGAATCTACTCCAATCCATGCTGCAATTTCAGAGCTTGACCACCAAGCCATGGCTCTGATTGAATCCCTGAACCTTGATGATTTTGCAGCATATCTGGCAAAGACCAAGAACACAATCTGTGGCCGCCACCCCATTGGTATCCTGATGGGTGCCGTGGCTCACCTCAATGAAACCTTGAGTCCAAATATCAAGTTTGTAAAGTATGCCCAGAGTAACCCTTGCAAAACATTGGCAGACAGCAGTGTGAGCTATGCAAGTGCATATTTGTACTTTTAAAATATAAATAAATAAATAAATAAATCGGCTTATTTCTTCAAAAAGAGCGATTGTTGAGCTGGAAACAGAACTGAGCGTGTTCCTTGATATACATCCAATAAAACTGGTCTTAATGAAGGAAGGAGATTCTACAATAAAAAAGAAACAAGATAAAATGAATATCAAATAATAATAATAATAATAATAATAATAATAATAATAATAATAATAATAATAATAATAGCAGTATAATGACTTGCCTGAAAAGCAATCACCATCTTTTCCTGATCTTTAACTAGGATTGCAATATAAGACTTGATCTGCCAAAAGTTGATTCCTTCATTGATCACCACGTCTTCAATATCCCGTCGACTGATAAATTTAGACACGACACTTCCACCCCAATACACAGTCTTGACTTGGATTCCAATGTCACGCATTACAAGTAAACTTTCTAAATATATATATAGTATTATTAAACAATAAAGTACGATTGATGATGGTGATGATTACCATGATGAATCGTTTTGTACTTGGACCAGATCCAAATTAAGGCAATTGCAGCTACCCATCGAGGATGTGTGTGTACTAGAGATGGCTGCATTAATGTACATATTGATGAATGCCTTTTTTATTTGTTTTCTCTCTCTCTCTCTCTTACAAATGAAGAAATAAATACACGCACAAACACAGATATATATATATATATATATATATTATTGTTAACTTACAGATGTCCAAGAAACGATTGCTGCACTCAAGCCTAAGAGTAGATCAACAACACCAAATAATGGAACAGGTGATTTGACAATATATTCTAATGAATTATTCTCAACCAAGACATGACATGTCAAGTTTTCTTTTGTATATGATTTGGTAGGCATAATAAATATAAATAAATAATAAAATAATAAAATAAAAAGGAAATTATAATTATAATTATAATTATAATTATTTTACACATAAAATATAGAATCGGAACTTTTGGCATAAGTTTTATTACTTGATAAATAATATAATAGACTGGTATATATATATATATATATATAAATGGGTGGGTGGGTGTAAAGATGATAGCGGCTAACTACAAGTCAAGGTAGAATTTCTTTTTAAAATAAAAATAAAAATAAAAATGCATGATGTATGTTTGTATGCGTATGTGTATGTGTATGTGTATGTGTATGTGTATGTGTATGTGTGTATGTGTATGTGTGTATGTGTATAAATGATTTGGAAGCAACAGTGACAATGGTGAGAGCGGTTAATGAAGGCGGGTAAGGGAGGGGGGGTATAATTATCTAGACTATTAGTCTTTTAGTTCTCTCTTTCTTTTCTGTCTTTCGAATGAATTTTGTTTTTGGTTTTGGTTTTTTTTTGATTGTTTTCTTATTGTTAACTTTGAACTATAGAAAGAAGAGAAGCCAAGAGAGGAAGATCGGATAGAGATAATGAAGGTGAGGATGGTGTACTTGAGGTTGATGTTGAGATCGATGCACCTCGACGGGCAATTGATTTGTTAAAGTAATGTGATTGAAAGGGATTTGCATGTTTTGGAATGAATGAATTGGATATGTCAATAGATGCCAGCATCTTGAGAACATTAGAGGTATTTTCGCGAACACTCGCTATACCACAGGGTGCAAGTGGATCGGCACCTGCTTCAATCAGGAGCTTGCAGACTGCCAAAGATGGTGTAGTGCACGCGAGATGGAATGCAGTGCAACCGTTCTTATCTGGAAGATCAATGTTGGTCGTAGCGGGAAGAAGGGCAGCCACAAGTTCTTCATAGCCTAGCAAGGCTGCAAGATGAAGCATTGTATGGCCATGGGTACCATCATTTTCTAATCCTACTCCTCCTCCTCCTTTATGATTATCGGCAGACGTATTGTTATTGTTGTTGTTATTGTTGTTATTGTTGTCGGTGTTGGTGTTGCTGTCACCTTGTACGATTCGCATGGCGACTTGCTTGGCATTTTGTAACTTTCCGGTCATTTTGAGCCCGACAACCTGAAGGGCAAGTTCAAGCAAGGCTTGATCACCGGCGTCATAGTACGTAAATAATGTGATATCTTGGCCACCAAGTACTAGCGGATGTTCTTTAAATGTCACGACGACAGGACCAGGCGTGGTGACGGGAGGAAGCACACACACGAGGGTGTTTGTATTCCAGTAGACTGTTTTGGCAGCATGCTCGCCAAACACGCAGGTGAGGTCGCGGCAGAACCCGGAGCCGAGTATGGTGATTTCTGTACCGCCACAGGTAGGGCCTCGATTGGGTACAATGCGATCTATGTGAGGTACTACCACTGGTGAAGTAGGCTCGTGTTGATGATATTGGTGCTGGCTCTGGCTCTGGTATGGGTGTGGGGATAAGGGTAAGGATAAGGGTATGGGAGGAGTTGAAAGTTGTGTGGAGAAGGTTCTTCTGCGCTGATTGAATGGCCACTCTTCCGGAAAAGGATTGGCAATGTCATCCTGACTGGGTGTCGGAAGGGACAAGAGTAGTGAAGAGGAGGAAGAGGGTGATGATAATACGGATGCTGGTGCCGATGCTGATACTGATAGTGATACTGATGCCGGTGCTGATGCTGATGCTGATGCTGATGAAGAATTAGATTTAGATTTAAATTGGTATGATGATGTTGATACAGATGCTGACTGTGGCCCTGGAGATTGTTCGATGAAATCCAAGAGAGAAGTTGTTGGAGTTGGTATACATTGGAGCCATCTGGGCAGGTCTTTGACAGGTGTTGGGAGGGCAATGTTTGGTATTTCTGGAGATGGAGAGTCTGTGACTGAGGTTCGTCTGGATGGTATTATTGGTGAGTCGGGGGTATCCTGTCGACTACGCTTCCGTCCTCGTTGTTTGAGGCTCTTGTGGTCGTCTGTGATCAGAATAGGGGGTGAGTCACCAGTAGCGACCAGTGTACCGCGATCATTGCGCATCGTAAAGCGGACCCTGTGAGATTGAATGTGTTAGAAATACATTTACACACATACACAAAATGTTTTTTATTTATTTATTTATAAATTACTCCACGTTCATTTACCTAAAACCGATTTTCTCGTTGTGATGGCGACAGTAACAAGTAATTCTTGTTGGCAAGATGGCATCTCCAGAGCTAAAACTGACCATTGGGCCACAGTTAAATAAAAGGATTCGGTCGCGTTCAGCTTCTAGATGTTCGTCTTCGTTTGGTGTGGCAAACCCAATGTCTGGGGTTTTTCCGTCTTTGGATCTCTCGGCTCTCTTACGCTATTACAATTGAAAAAAAATTATAAATATAAATACAAATACAAATGTATATATATGTAATGCAATTTAATGTAATGTAATGTAATGTAATTTAATTGTATTATTATGACTAGAGCAAAATAAATAAATAAAAAGAATTATATATATATACCTCTCGCTTGACGCAGCCGTGACACATGCGGACTTGCTTGGCCTCGTTACTTGCGCAGATCACCTTTGCCTCGAGGGTGAGGATATTTGACTCGTCTGACAGGAGAGTTGACAGATTGCCGTCCATACGCGATTTCTGCTGTGATTTTTTCTGTTTGGACCGGGCTAACATGTTGTCATGTAGACGCAGATAAGACCAGTTTTGTACTTTGGCATCTTGGTTTGTAACCAACTGAACACACAACTTGATTTGTGTTTCCACTCGCGATTTTGCTCCCGTACTCGGCACACCGTGTACCCGAATCTGTAGTCTATCGGATTAAACTTTAGTCGAAAGTAAACACAAGAATGTATATATATAATTTATATATAAAGATCAAAAATAGGAAGAAGAGAAAGAAGAGCAAGAAGAGCAAGAAATTGATAGTGCTTATTTAAAAATAAAAATAAAATCTATAAAATATAGTTGTATATATATATATATATATACATAAATATATATTTCTTCTTTCTTACTCAGGTTTAATATTGGTGTTTAATGTGAATGGTCTATATATATATATATATATATATAAAAGAGAAAATTCGTTAGTTGTTAAAATGATTTTTCTTAGAAGAAGATTAATGATTTTATTACGTTTCTTCCTGATCTTGTGCAAGACATTCTGTAAGATATAAGAAGCTGTCTTCCATGGTATAATCCTTGTCTTGTGCGTGGGCCCAGTCTGCTGTATTGAGTTGTTCATGCTGGCTTTGAGGCGATGGTGAGGATGATGAAGATAGGGAGGGAAGGTGGTGTGTATAGTCGTGTTTGTCGATGGGTTGGTGAGGTGAAAATGAGGAGGTCATGGCAGAAAGAAAAGATTGACAAAAGAAGGGTGTTGCATAACGACCCCCTTTTTAAGATACAAATATATATATATATTATATTCTTGTCTTGTATTTAAATAGGAAATAATATGTGGATGATGAATGCTAGGGCCACACTGACGAATTCCGAAATCGCAACCGAGAAATAATATATATATATACTGAATAGAAAGGGAAATTGTATTGGATAAAGAATACAATATAATATAATTAAATTTGAGCTTTTTTTTAAAAAAAAATTATCACTATCATTATCATTATTACTATTACTATTACTATTAGTATTACTATTGTTGTTGTTGTTGTTGTTGCTATGGAAACTCTTATCGATTGTGCAGATTAGGGTTTAGTATTATATATATATATTCTTGCGTGTGGGAAGATGAACTTTATATGTGAATAAAAGAAATATTTATACATATATTATTATTTTATGCTTTACTTTAAAAATATATATATATATATAATATATATATATAACAATATAAAAATATCTTATTCTTACTTATTGCACGGAGCGTGTTTCAAGCACAGACATTTCTCCTTTAATTACATGTAATTATTTTGAATTATTATTTTTATTTTATTTTATTTTGTCATTTGTTTTTATCAATACAAATCCACATCAATAAAATTCAAAATTGTATATATATTTATATAAGATTCATACTACTTACTTGAGGGTCAAGGATATCTTTTTTATAATCAAACTGATAATGATCACCCTAGAGTGTAACGTTGTACTTCTTGTGTGCTCTTTCTTTTCTTTTTCTTTTTTTTTTTGGTCTCAAAGTTTCATCTCAAGATGTACCCGCTTGGGCCTTTTTTTATAATACGAACATCTTTTTTTTTTGTCTTTTTGTTATACTCTTTTTTCTTGTTTGATCGATAAAGAACCATTATATATATATATATATATATATATATGTGTATGTAGATTAATAATAAGGTTGATATTTTGTGTCAAGAGCATATATATATTGATATCTATATTTCTTGTATAAGATTGCTGTAAAGAACAAGTTAATTTTGTTACTATGGTTATTAGATTATTATTTATTTATTTTAGATTTTTAAAATACAAAATATTTTGGGATTCCACGTTTTGTCTAAAAATGGAAGACTACAGTCAAGCTTTCTCCACTTTTGATATCCTTTTTTGAAACGATTTTTTTTTAAGAAATCTTTATTTAGTATAAAAATATATAATGATAAATGTAAGCCCCACTACCCACACCCACACTATTTTACCCTATCAACAATATTCACAATATTCATAATATTCACAATATTCACACCCACACGAATAAAGGGAAAATAAGCATGCAAGTAAGTAAGTAAGTAAGCAAGTAAGAAAGTAAGCAAAAATATATAAATAACGGATCATTAAGAATATTATATTTAATAATTATATAAGCTATTTCAATACATATATTATTTATATATATATATATGTGTGTGTGTATTTCAAAATTTTCAAAGCAGCAATAATGAATTGTTGTTGTTGTTGTTGTTTCTGTTGCTGTTGCTGTTGTTATGCCTTGTTGTTGCTATGCTTTGATATTGATTCTGATGCTGTTGATGTTTGCAGTAATGAACCGTAAATATTACACAACCGTAGGATTCACAAGTTATTTCTGGATTATTCTCGGCATTTATAAAGATTCTTTTTTTTTGCTTTTTTATTCAATATTTATTCGATTCAAGGATAATATTTTTTGACCTAATAATTTTGTGGAGCACAAATATCAGCCCATTGTTTACCTCTCTTTGTCTCTCACTATCTCCCTCACTATCTCTCGCTCTCTGTCTCTCTCTCTCTTTATCTCTATCTATCGTCCTATATCTTTTTCTACTGTATAATATATATATATAAGTTTTTGTGTGCGTGTGTAAAATTATATAATACATGGATACATTACACAGTCAAAGAATAGAACAAGATAAAAAAAATTAAACTTGTAGGTCAATTCTGTAAAGAAGCCCAAAGCAAGTCAAATCAAAGCAAATCAAATAAGCCAAACATGTTTATGATATGCGTATACGTGTTTATTTGTGTTTATTTGTGTATGTGTGTGTCTTATCAAACGTTACATTCCCCAACCAGTCCAAATGTATTTATATACAGAGATTGCGGTGAGTATCTACTGACTGTCGTCATTCTATTAATTAACTAAAAGACTCTTATCTATTATAAAATGTATAGGATCCAATTTATTTAATTCAACAAAATATTTCAAAAAGAATCAAATAACTATAGCAATTTATTTTTAAAAAAAAAGAAAAAGAGTGAGAAAATATGCGTACACACAAGCCAAGTAAGTAAGTAAGTAAGTAAGTAAGCAAGCAAGTAAATAAAGAGGCACGTAACATAGAGATACATAGACACACAAAAAATCAAGAGAGATAGATAGTCCAAATGGAGAATTACGGATGGGTCTCTAAAGCTTATTAATATAGAAAAAGCAATAAATAAGGTCTCGGAATTGCAATGAAATTCTCTGGTGAATCTCTGTAATCCCAAACATTCAATTACAACAGAAAGAGGCAAAAATGGTAGATAAAATCAATACAAAATAGAATAAAATCTCGTATCTGTGTTGCATCGGAAGATTGAAAAGCGTGGGTATGTAGTGAGTCCTTTTTTGTTTCTATTTCTATCTAGTATTTGTGCTTAGGTTATCAGAATCAAAATGGCAAACCCTGTTATTTCTCTTTTTCTCTCTTTCTCTCTATCTCTTTTATATTATTATTTTTTCATTCCCTCTCTTACTATGTGTGTGAGAGGGAGAACTCTGAGCAAGATCGAGACCTTTGTTCGTTTCTTGTGCTTATATATATTATATATTATATTTTATATATATATATATATAAAAGCCTGTTGTCAATAAATCTAATAAAGTCCAAATATTCAATTCATAATACTGCCATACCACTATTCTGTATTTGATACCTTAAATCCTGTACTGTCTCCCCAAAATATGGGCAAACTGTATAATGTTAATTCTATACAAAAAAATTAGTAATATTCAATCATTTACATGTTATTTGCTGTAATGCACTGTAATGCACTGTAATGCACTGTAATGTATCGCACTGTATTTACTTGTTTTAAAACAAAGCCAAAAAGATGTATATTATCAATTATCAACAATCTTTACTTCCAAGATTGGGATAGATACGACGGACATTAGACGTTTGATTTATTTGATTCATTTGATTTCTTTCAGTTTCTTTTAGTTTCTTTTTTTTTTATTATTATTATTACTATTATATATTACCTTTTCACATTAATAGAAATTCCCAAAGTCTATTATAATTTGTCAAATTACTGATCAAATAGATAGGTTCAAACACAAACAAGCCACATACATATGCATACATTCACGTACATTCACGTACATACATACACATAGAGATACATATTATTAATATCACTATCACTATCACTATCATTATCACTCACTTTCCCACTCTCTGATTTACTCACCCATTCACTCATTCGCTTACTCACACGCTGGATATACTGTACACACCGTACACTACAGATATATTACACATATACACATGCACAAACACAAACACAAACACAAATACAAATACAAATATATAATATACTTCATATCCATATCCGTTCCTTTCTTTATTATGGAAATTTGTTGGAGAAATGGTCCAGGATCATCTGTTGCTCATTAAAAAAGAAACTGTCATTTGCCAAACGCACACACATACTTACACACGCACAACGCACAACGCACAATGTATAATGCATATATATTTACAGTACGCATTCAATTTTGAAACAAGAGAATAAATATGTGTATATTACAAAGTGACTTGGATCACATATATCATCTATTTTGACAGACCAATTTCAAAGGCATTAGGGTTTGATGTCTGATGTTTGATGCTTGATGTTTGATGTTTTTTTTTATATATATTTCTTTAAAGAAACTACCCCAAAGACTATTTCCATTAAAAGTCCCAAGCACCCACATACACCCATCTACATACACAAACAAACACAAATAAATACTTGTGTACATCATCCTCTTTAATCACAAGAATATATTATATGTGAGAAACTATACTAGACACACATCACTAAACATATATACTAGTATAATGCTTACACACCTCTTCTTCTTCTTCTTCTTCTTCTTCATCTTATTCTTCATTACCTAATCAGAACAATGTGTGACACTCTGTATAATTCATAGGGTATATAAATTATCAAACATTCAAGGAGAAGGTTTCATATTTGTATATTTATGCTTATTTTTTTGATACAACTATTACTACTATTACTATTGTTATTATTATTTTTATTTTATACTGTAGTTACAAATACCTAATAAATTTTATACAAATTTTCTATTCTGATGTACTTGGTTATATTTTGACTCTAACAAATTACTCTTTACCAAATATATATATATTGGTTTCAGGTGTAATTAAATGAGTACATTAGCACTGAGTGTATTTGTAAGAGTAACATTTATGAAGTTCTTTTTTTTTTTTTTTTTAATTGGAATTCTTGTAACTTGCATTGTAATTATTTTGAGAATTTAGGATTCTTGGATTTTGTGACTGTGCGACTCCGATATTCTGAGATTTATGAAGCTCTAGAATTTAGCGACTATGTAATTCTAGGATTCTATGATTCTATGATTCCGTGACTGGATAAAAGTGACTAGGTAAACAATGTGGTTGCAAAAATATGTTTATGTGTACCTTTTTTTTTTTATTTTTGTTTCAAAAGATCAAAAGGTTAAAATGTATCATTATCATTATTATAAAAAAAATGTATGTATATATGTGTATTTACATGTTCTTTTTCTTTCTTTCTTCCTTTCTTTAAAAATATCAAATCAAATTAAATCGTATATGTTTTTGCGGTAAGTTTTGACCCGCTAAATTATTATTATAATAATGATAATATATATATTAAAATAAAAATGAATACGATAATTAGGCTGATAAATCTGCCGTAAAAAAATAAATAAGTAAAAAGTTTGATTTGATTTGACTACAAGACACACACACATAAAAGATCAACATCATTTGATATGCAAAGGAAACTATTGAATTAAGTATGAG